GGGGGCGGGCACGGGGCCGGGTCCCCGCCCAGCCCCGCTCCTCGCCCGCCGCCGGGGCTGCGGGAGCGGGCACGGGGCCGGGTGTCCTCCCGCCGCCAGGCACAGGGCTGGCTCCCCACCGGCCCCGGGGCTGCGCCCTCGGCCAGCGCTCGGCTGCCCAGGGCCCGCAGGGCAGGGGCCACGAGCTGGGAGTGAACCTGCCAGCGACAGCCAACGGTGCGAAGCGAGGCCAGCGAGAGCTGCCTGTGCTCGTACCCCGTGCTGGGGCTTGTTTGTGAAATCATTGCCCCTTACACCCGCAAATAACTGCTTATGTATAGAAGGAATCCCCCACGTGCTAGCAGCACGCACCGATACCGTAAAGGTGTATCCTTTTATCCAAGTACTAAACTTGTGGAGATAGCAAAGTTATTTAAGATTATTTTTAAACATCAACTAGCCGAGAAGAGTATCTCAGCTCTTTTAATATTTCCTGAGAATACTGCCTTATTTCCAAGCCAGAAGCTGCATTTTACCTGTGTGTGTGAAGTGCCGTGCATAACACACAGGATGGAGCTCACTGTGCATCAATTCTACCTTCATCGCATCCCCTTTTGACCAACAACTGCTAGGAGCCGGCTGTAACAGTATGCACAAACCCCACGGCCTATTTCAATGTCATCCCACCACGTGGACTCTAAATAGGCTGTCAAGTGCAAAAATCAGGTGGGGAGCTTAGAAACACTTGTTATAAATGTATAACAATTAGAACTGATTAAAATGTAACCATAGTTTTTTTCCCCAAATATTCTATTTCATACAACTAAAAATAGATCTGAAGGAGAAAGGAATTTAATCTTCAAGTGACATAGTTATTACAGTAGTTTAGGATGAAGAAAATCCAAATTATGTGGAAGAAGGGCGAAGGTACATACAGAAATGAGTGATTCGCTCCCATTTCCTTCAAAGAAGACAAATTCTAAACCACACTGAAATAGTCCTAAGCAGCAGTATTTCAAAATATATAACTACCTGAATTTAAAGCTTTTATATATTCATCTCAAGAGTGTTTTTAAGATAACTTTTACATGCCATCTTTGAAAATAGGATCTTTCTTGTTAACAAGGACATTGCCATTCAGTATGAACATTAAATAAAAACACAAGTATAAAGCAATACGAAATATTCATCCTTTCAGTAATTTTTGCCCTTTTATAGTCTTGATTACTTAAGAGGAAATTATTTTCTACCCCTTCTGCATGCAGGAATTATTAGCCCAGCATATTGAGAACTTTAAGATAGAAATTTAGCATTACGTCATTAACTGAATCTCTACTGTATGCCCTGGAAAACATTCTGATTGCCTCCATTATTTCCCAGTTTAGGCATACTTGGCTTTACTGCAGTATCCAAGAGTACACCCACAGTAACAGCTGTGTAAGCAGCACTAAACAATCATTTTAAGTCTTCACTTGCTACACATACAGAACCACAGAACAGTTTGAGTTAGAAGGGACTTTAAAGATCCTCTCATTCCAACCCCTGTGCGACAGGCAGGGACATCTTCCCCATGAAAGGAATGAGAAGGAGGTGTCTTTACAAACAAACTGTGGGCCTGATGGTAAATATGGCCAGATAGAGAGGTGAAAAAAGCAACGGGGGGAACCATAAATTCCATAGGAATTCCACTAATTGACACAGTCTGCTACTCACTCAAGACTGTGCTAAATCTCTGGATTTAGAGAAAAATAATGCAGACACAAGGAAAAAGAAAAATGGGGTGGGGGGTATGAGGTGTTTCAGGGAGTCTGTACCTCTGAAGTACCTCAGCCAATGGGGAAAGAGAGAGGAAAAATGCAGCCAGAAAATTAGGATAAAAAGGAGGCTGCATCCCCTAAAAATTCTGAGAGACTCCATGGGAGTGCCCCATGACCTCTCCTTTTATTTGAGTAAAGTTACAGGACTCCTCTGTCTCCTTTTTGACATACACCTCTGGTGTTTGTGGATTAATTTTCCTGACACCTACACCAGGCAGCTCAAAGCCTCATCCAACCTGGCCTTGAACAGGGGCATCCACAGCTTCACTGGGCAACCTGTTCCAGTGTCTCACCACTCTCAGAGAGAATTTCTTCCTAACATCCAATCTAAACCTGCCCTCTTTCAGTTTAAAGCCTTTCCCCCATGTCCTATCACGACATGCCTCTGTAAAAGGTCCCTCTCCAGCTCTCTTGTAGCCCCTTTACATACTGGAAGGGGCTCTGGAGCGTCCACAGAGCCTTCTCTTCTCCAGGCTGAAGAGCCACAAGTCACCCATCCTGTCTTCACTTAACAACACTGTTTAATAAGATTCTCCCACAGAGCAACTGAAATCTCTGCTTCTAAATATTTCAAGTCAGTGGCAGAAGGACTCTGTGGTAAAACAGATTTTCTCTCTCTGATGTTCTCAAATGGAAAATTGCTTCTACTCCTTCCTCTCCAAGTACATAATGCTGTAGATGTCAGTATGCCATCTCCCTGCTTCCACCATCACTCTCCACCAGAAGCAACAACTGCACTATTAGTCATTGTATAGATAATAGTTTTCACCCGCTGTAAGATGAGCCAGGTAGCAAAAATTTTTTTACTCAGTGTAAAGGCTTCTTTACAAAGAACACCAAGGTTCCAATCTCAATGAAGCAGAGTCTACCTATAGGCATATTGCACTGTGAACTCCAGAAAAGCAGAGCAAAAGAAGACACCACAGTACCTCACCTTCTAAAATATGACAGATATCCATTGCAAAGACTGAATGTTTTTAATCTTAGTGCAAAATTATCACACCAATATGAGGAGAGAAACCAAAGTTTTCAGCAAGAATACAAAGAGTAATAAAAAAATTTGGGGAGAAAATGAAAAGCACCTGTGCATTCAAATATGACAAAGAAGTGGATATAAAAAAATACTTCCTATATCCTACATCTTAGGGAGAGATAATGTTTCTCACACGTTAAGCAAGATGTGTTGAGAATGGCTCACTGAAGGCATCCCTTGTTCCCAGCCATGTTCAGTCCTTCCTTCCCACTATTCAGTGTTAAAAGCTGCCTAGTGCCAATACAAAAAAGCCTCCTACCAAGCCCTATTTTCCTTCCTCAAGCAGTTGGAAATCTGACCTATATAGCATCTGACCCCAAAGAATATCCGTTCCCAGAAACTCCCACTCACTTTCTAACAGACCCATTAGTTAATGAGTAGTTTACTACACTAGCAGTGTAAAATTAGTACTTTAAGCATATAATTTACAAACGCAAGTAAATACCCTTCAAAAAATGAAAGGAAAAAAAGTAAAGACACTGACTGCTTTGTGTTTTCTTCCAGCAATTTAACCACTGCATAACACAAGAAAACCCAAAGAAACCTGTGCTTGAAGCCAGTGGTTAAGATATAAAACAGCAGCAATCTCTAGGGATGCTCAAAGAACCGTGTGGGCTTTACCACACAATTCATGCTTCCATGCACATACAGAACCTAGGAACTGCCATACTGAGGAACTTAATTGCCCATTTTAGTATTCAGTAAGGGACTGTGTAGTGCATCATATTTATAATATGCTGACAACAGCAGCTCTATATCCCCAGAGCCTTGAGAAAACTGTCCAGTCTGTGCCCTGACACACATGGTACTGCAAGACAATGCAATTGAATTATACTATCCAATCCAAAAGTTCTTCCCCAATACACAAATTTACATAGTATACAATTCCCCAATATACAAATTTATAGTTTAAGTTACATTCCTGCCCCCAGTGATGTCCTACACAGAATTTCAGCATTCAAAATTCCAGCCACCTGAGCAACAGTGGGGCTTAGACCTCATACACCCATCTTCACCTTCTTTAAAATATATAAGATACAGCATGAAATCTCAAGATACCATAAAAGCCAGTTGTTTCAGAATTTAACCCCCCCAAAACTGTTCTTTCATGACGTACTCATTATAGGTACACAAGGTCTTACCATATTAAAAAAGAAAAAAATCACAAAATAAGAAACTGTGTTCCTTTCCTTTATTATGATGTACCAATACCTTGCATACAACATGCAATTTATTGCTTATTGACATTATTGCATATATCAAAGGGGAAAAAAATCAGCCAATATAATTTTATGCAAGCTTCTAAACTGTTCAAAACAAAATACAGAAATGCTTAACAATATCACTGAAATGCTAGCAAATAATTTAGATTCTTTCTTGTAATAGAAAGTAAATTTAAACCCATAATACTTAATAATTTACTTTGCTATGAAGGATTACTTTTATCACCAATCTTCAGAATTGTTATATTGCATGTTTAAGTTCTTGTGCCATGATAAGGATTGCTATTCCAATCAGGTCACATTACTAGTTGAATTTAATAATGTGATCCTAACATTTTGTGACAGTATTAGAATTTGCTGCAAACCAGATTGTCAAGATTTACCAGAAATCAGTCTAGCAGAATCTACAGTTTTCATCCTTGCTCTGCACATTAGTTAGACAAACTCATCAAGTTTCTTCTTAGATAGATTATATAAACATTTTCGAATTACAGGCTCCTTTACTTATGCCTAACTTGTAACTCATTTGTTCCAAACAGGTTTATAACAGGTAAGCTGTGCCTATTCTACATAAATAGGTATCTTTCAATATTGAAGAAAACACTGTTTGGTAAATGCATGCTAGAAACAAATCCAGGACATTTGGATGTGTGCATATTAAGTGTGCAAATTATATAGCTGAGCTCATGATTAGCCCTTTTCCTCCCTTCCCCCTATGATTTGATGTTTCTTGTGAAACTGGAATAGGATTACTATAAACAAAACCACATTTCATTCAAAATTTTGTATTCTGTATTACAGCTTAGTGTTCATATTGAAATGTTGCTTTCAAACCTAGCAAATTTTTAAAAATATCAAAATTTAAAAACTTAGAAGACAATTTACATGCAACATGTTCCATTTGGGTGCAGATTCTCATATACTTAAATATTTATAGGCTCATAAAAGCATGTCCTGTCCACAAAACAAGTACAATGTTTGACATCCCACACACAGATTAAAAATAAAGATACAATACAGAATATTTTATTTGCTTTTATATTTTCAATTTCAGTAAGTAGGAAGTTATAAATAGCACACTGAATCATTACGTGGTTGATACGAAGCCATGCTGATCTCTTTGTACTTCACTCTCTTACAGACACTTCTTTTACTTAAAACTAGGTTAAAAATGTATATACTTTGTATTAAACAGATGCCCTCTCAGTGCAGGACATCACACAATGAAACTGTTCTCAGAAGAAATTTTGCCAAAATATTTCTTATACCAAACAATATGATTTATTCTTCATAGCTACCTTCCATTCTTTACTGAGCTATAAAGTGCTTGGTTATTATAAATAGAACAAGACTTTGAAAGGAGGTAGCTAGTAGAAATTTTTAATGGATAAGAAACCTTATTAAGTGTTGCCATCTAAAAGTATGACTTGATGCTTTATCCCAGATCTCTAAACAACCCAGGCAGCACATATTTCATCTTCTCTGCCATAAAAACAACTTTCAAGTTGCTTTCATAAAATCCTAAGAACTTCACCTAACACAGATTTTATCCAGGTTTGGATGAAGGTTAAAAGTTCACAAATATTACCACTATTTCCATCTGACTGCCATCAATCAGGGTATCAGCAATGAAGTAGTGTTCTTTTTCTGTCTGTATTCCAAAGACAGAGAAATCTGACCAGGAACAAACTTTCCCTCGTGGAGTTCCCTGTAGCCAGATAACACTGTTGTACAGTAGGGTATTAAAATATGAAAGGGGCTTGCAATAGTTTTCAAACTCTTCTACACTTGCGCTTTTTCATCTGAAAATTCTAGTCCCTTTCTATTTGCTTTATTGATGGCTTTCAGCAGCAGCCAGCAGCACACCAGACCCTAAGCTGGAGCAATTGTCAAGCAGCCCTTTATTTTCTTCTGAGTGGCTCAGCAGAAGCAACACAAAACGATTTTTCAGACTTCTCTATTAAATGGTCTTTTACATAAAGCTTGTACATACATATGCTTAAACGCACACAAGGCCATGAGAAAAAGTCCTCTTCATACAATAATCAACAACTGGTATTACAGCTTGAAAATTCTAAAGAATAAAATTTCAATGTCCATCACAGAGACACAAACACCTAAACCTTTCTGCTGTGTATCTGTCTGCTGTTGTCCCAAGCACAGCAGTAGGAAGACATCTGGATCTCTAGGTGTGTACTCAAAGTCTCCTCCTCCTCTCCTCGTAAAGCTGCCTGAATCCATTTGCTCACTCGTGTAGGCTTTTACCCTTAGACTGTTAGTTCTGCAGTATGAGTAATCTCCCACAATATTTGAAGTAAAGATGGAAGTCATTCTCTTCCAAACACTGTAAATAATTTAACTTTTAATAAAATTTAGTACATAATTTGGAATTGTTAAGAATTTATATATGAAGCCAGCTCCCCTCATTTTCCTGTGCATCTATTTCATTATTCAATGGATTATATGTTTTAAACAATTAAGTTATTAAATTATGGAGCTCACTCAAGATAGCATGTATTTATAGAGGTAGAGTAGGCTTCAGAGATGTAATTCTTACCACTGAAGAATTCACACAGATAACCAATACAGCATCCCTATAGTGTGAGACTCCACTGAAATCCACTGAAACGCTCTGAGAAAATGAGTATTTGAAGTACACTTCCTCTGCAAGTACTGATTCCACAAATCTGTTACAGAACACCTAACCTACCATTCTCCTGTAGAGTTCTCAAAGTGGTAATTACTCATCTTGTGATGAAAAATTAAAGCCATGAAAAAGGGGAACTTGCACTTCTACATACAGCCTAACCAGTACCAATAGTCTGTCCCATGATCAGCAAGTTAACGCCACCTGGTATTGAAGAATGGAAAAGAAAAGAAAACCAAGCTATTTTTTACAAGAGTCTCTCCTTCCATTTGATATGCCCACAGAAAAGACACCTGGTGACATGCCAAGAGTCTGCTTTTACAATGCATCTGTTAAAAATAGAAGTTTTAAGCCACTAATAAGATATCACATTCAAAAGCATTTGTTACATTGCTAATTACCATGCATTCACTTTTCTGCATAAAAAAGCAAAGACACAAGCTTACAACATTAAATTTTATCAATATTTCACCACATTTTTAAAATTAATAAAGTGCAATGAAAAAATGGGTGCCACAGCTATCTAATTTGCTGTATTATAAGCTTTTAATGGCAGGCAAAAAGTGCCCTATATACTACTGTATTCAGTACATCACAACTTTGCTGCCTGTTTACTAAAGTCTTTGCTGAAACCACAGCTGTTAGTAGTTTTTTTTTAAATAAGAAAATTTTCTTCTGATGCATCAGGACATAACTGTAATAACTTTCTTAAAAAATTATAAAATTTAGAGCTAATGCATTGCAAAATAGACTTTCAATTACACTTTTGTGCAGCAATCCAAAATACTAGCTGTTCTAAAGAATTATCACACTGCCCTTCAATCCTAGATGGTTGGCCAAAGTGTAGTATGCAGAGTTTTGGATTGTTTTTTGCTTCTAAATCTAGTTTTAACATCAATTTTATTACAGCTTGACTTACTTTTTTTTTTCCCCTATCAAACACAAGTCTATCTAGAAGCAGAAGTAGTAGGCCATTTTAATAAATGGCCTCCACTGACAACAAAATATTTAAAATACTGAAATATTAAAATCAATGTAAGAAATTATAAATTTCAGAAACTTTTCATGAATTATCACTCTAAGAGTTTCTCCAAATCATCTTGTCAATTTTTTCATCCTACTTCCCTAAGAAGAAAAGCAGACTTCTATTTTCAAGCATACTTTTCCAAAATGTTTGAATTCACTCAATTTTAGAAAGGAATAAGCTTTTACAAAACTATTAATCACAGGGATCTAGTGATGTAAAAAGAAAAGAAAAGAGTATTTAATATACACCTTTAAATCACAAAGGTGATAGAAACACAGCCTTTTTACAATTTTGCATCAGGTACACTGAAATCACATTTTAAAAGATACCAGGTTCTGCAAATGAGCATAAAAGAGAGTCTGTTGCTTTGAGCAAAGCAAGTCCCAGGATGGACTCTCAAAGACTGTGGATTTACTGGTACCCAAAGGAGGCACTGCACTCACTCAGATCATACAGCCCTACAGATGAATTGTTAACTCTCCCAAGGCATAAATAGGTTTTTTGTGCAGGCTGTGAAGTGTTAATAACCACGGGATCCAAAACCACAAGTGCTGCCAATCCTTGCTATCTCCCTCAACAAGGCAGGACTGGGAAACTTTTAGCAAAAAGCCTGCCGAGCTGAGCAATGGAACTAGGCTTTCAAAAGTGCATTTTACACAAGTCCACACAATACTCCCTGACAGCATTTCCACTGGGGAACTGAACTCAGGGCAGCTGCCTTGGTGAGGAGGCATTTCAGCCTATGCAGTTCTCCTGGGTCTCAGATGCCATTTCTGGATGAAGGGAGTGCCCAGTTCCTCCCCAGGGAGGACAGCACAGGGCACTCACACCTCTGACTACGGAGGGGAGAGCTCACGTCACCCAGCTTTGTCAGAGGGAACAGGACTAATCACACAACACGGGGTAAACATGCTACCTTTCTGTTTAAAAAGAAATTGCTTTAACAGATTGCTACAATAATCGGGGTGTGAACTGAAGTCGCAGTGAAAATGGACTCTTTTACCACACCTAGACCAAGGAAAAAACCAGAAGTTAATCAGTCACAATTCTGGATAAAAGAAGTAAACCAAAACAAATTTACACATAAATGTAGCTCTCAAAATCATTTTAAATAAGGCATAACTCAGAATTTCCTCAAATTGTATTACAAATGAGATTTAGGACTATTCCTAGGTGGTGAGATTCCTCTCTGATGACCTCCAAGCCTTCAAGTTCAAACAGAGTAACTGATTATCTCTTGACAAATGTGTGGTTTAAAACAACAAAAAAAAAAATTGTGTCTACAGAGGTCAACTGTTCCTTCTACAGAATTACCATACAGTTTCAGAGGAGTTTGGCACAGTTAATTCAAGAATATTCTTAGTCACACCTCGGATTTCTAACTTGATTAACAAGGAAAATGTGACAAAAACCCTCAATGGTTGATATCAAACAGGTCACTTTTGTGATAAAAGAAAAAAGTATTACTTAAAGTTACACATCACAAATACAGATGATTTTTATATCTTTGCAATTAAACTGAATCCAAATAGCCAATGGTTAAAAATACTCTGAGAAGAACAGCAGCACTTCTCAGAGGTAGTAGCAGCAAAGGAAAGAGCACTTCAGTAAGAACTAGGCCATTTCCACACATCATCTACCATATTAACTTACAAAAAATGTTCCACGGGGAATTTAGAAGATGTACTATTGCATGTAACCTAGGACAGCACATGGGAATCCTTCCCATCAATGTGAGAATTCTAACAGCTCTTAAGATATCATGTGGTCTTATAATACAGCATTTTAGATAAAATTATTTCAAAATTTCCCAAAGAGTTTGCATTCATATAAGGCAGAACAAAAAGCAGTAAAAGACTTCATAGAATCAAAGCCAAATTTTTATCTTTTCTTGCAAAAATTAAAAAGTTGTCAAGAATGAAATCTTGATTGTTATTCCTAGAAGAAAACATAGAAACGTGCCTGGAAAATTGCACCATATCAGGAGTTTGGGGAATTTTTCATTTTCTAAAAAAACAGATATGTCAGTATTCACTGGATTTATAAAACTTTTTAATCAGAGAAACCTGAGAGAAACACTTTGAACACACTGGTGGACAATAAGCAGTAACCAGTCTGCTCCTTTCTAATTTCTGATGCTTGCAACTGCTTACAACAGGCATGTGGAACTCATCTGTGTGAGCTTTTGCTTTTATTCCTCACAGGACAGGATCCGCAAAGCGTGGCCCTGGGCGTGCAGGCAGTGTGGCTAGGGAAAGAGTAAGGTCAGTACAGAGGTAATACCTTGTTTCCATAATAGGAGCATTCCATGGCAGAAATGTGCACTGTTTCAGTGAACCCAAATTATTTTCATAGCAGAAATTTCATTTATGTATGATTTCTAGGCAGATTTTCCATTTCTATGAGTTTTCGCTTCCTCCTGTCCAATAAGACGAATGACCTTGTAGCATCCTTTTGCAATTTTGACCATCCACATCACATTCATAATATCCAAGACAACGCTTGAGATCATCCAGGCGCTCTGGGCTGCAAATCCTAATCTCTGGAAACCTTCTGTTCCAAATGAAGAAATTACGTGGCTGTAATACACAGGCATGACGGCAATCCTCACCACGAAGAACACAACTGTCATCAGCACACCATTGATGATGTTGGCCTTTGAAGATTTGGGATATCCCAGTACTTCAAAAAACCACCTGCAAAAGAAGTGTTCACAAATACCAGGCAGACTTGAAGCCGTCTCATTAAAAACTATTTTACTTCATGTTTATTTTTAATTCGTCATGTATTAATTGCTTCTACTTTTAAAATTTCTAAATTATTGCACTTTTTCTTGGCTTAGTTACAAATCCTTCTGCTTGGCTGCACTTTTTTCCCACCACTTAAGCAGTGTAGGAGATCCAGTATATTGCAGAATAACACATAGAAAATCCTGATATGAATTGTGAACCAGTTGACAACCCACGTGCATTTCAGTGACTCTTGTCTAATATCCAATAATAAAACCATATTTTAAAATTATAAATACATATTTATTACTTGCTGTTATAGTTTATACCAACAGCAGCTAAAATTCTTTTTCTCACTGAAAGCAACTCTAAAATTGCATTTGGATTTGGTAATCCAGAGAGAGCTCTAATTTCTTGTAATTGGGATTTTCTGACTGCTTCTGTTCAGCCCAAAACCACAACATTTTCAGAACCAGACATCCTGAACTCTTGAGCACGTCACAACATTGGAACATTACCCAATGAAAAAAGATATATCTAAAAACTTCTTCTCCATCTACTGCTGGGTCATAAATGGTCTTTAAAAAAGAATTCTTGTATATTTATTCCTAGATATAGCGGACAGGCATAACTTATCTATTGCCTAGCACACAGAACCTGAGGGCTGAAAAAGGAACAAAAAACTTCCCTAATCCTTTGTCATTCACACTAGAATAAACAAGTAAAATTTGTGCAGCAATGGCAGGCAAGACCACAGCAAAATAACTTGAATAACTGTATTCATACTGGGGGATGGGGAAGAGAATGAAATAATCAATTTTTCTCCAATAAGATACAAGGCTAAAATGATTTAACAAAACAGTTCTAAACCTGGTTTTAAAAGTAATTTTTAATTTAATTACCTACAGATTACAACCTAGGTAATTATAAACACACTAAAAAGATTTTACAGACATCCAGCTCTAACAGAAATATTCTAGAAATTCATTAAGCATGCAACTAGGACAATTAAAATCCAGGCACTTGAGGTGGCAGTCCAGCCCGGAAGCAAGATGCCTCACCATAGAAACACTGACATGAAGAGAAAGACCTGACATATTTGGTCAGATTAACAATCAAAGCTTTTACTTTCAATGATATACACAATGCAGAATAAAAAATTAATGTAAAAAACGGTTTTCAAACATACTGCAACATGCCAGTATAGGTAATTGGCATCTGTTTAGCAACTTCCCTTTCCCAGCAAATTAAAAAAAAAGTCTGTAAATAACAGTTACCATTACAATTTTACCCACCACAGTTCAGAATTAATTACATAAATGCTGATACTAACATTAAAAGATCTAAATGCTTGGCATGGAGACAACCTCCAATTAGAGTTCCCTAACAACACAGACAGGAAATACACAGACAGTTCTAAGATTAGAATATCTTTTTATATTTTAATAAGAGTTCTTTTGGTAGACTAAGAATGCAAACAAGAAAAATAATGTAAGTTGTTATCATTATCCATTACGGACTCTCTTAAGGATCTGATTCACTTCAAATTTAATGGAAAAAAATCATGCACTAATGAGATGACATCTCTTAGTGCAAGGGACTTTATTATCTCCTGCAGCAATTTCTGCTTTTCTGAGAGAATGCTAAATGTCAGTATTCAAAGACCCATAATCTCACCATGGGCATTTTAAAAGTAGAGCATAAATTACTTTTAATAGCCAGATGTACCACAATTCTTTCCAACACCACAGTCTGAAAGGTAAGCATCAATGTAGGAGTCCACATGAACCCAGGATGACATCCTATCTTGACAGGAGCTGGGACAACAGCCATTCACCAGGACATGAATATCAATATAAACCCTTTTTTCTTCATTAAGTTTGAAGAAGTGTTTATTTAGTTTTTAGTTTCTCTGTGCACACAGAGCACAGGCTACAACAGACTGATATCTCCCACTCAACTGCACTGGGGCAGAGGAGAGCAGCCTCTGGAGAGCTCCATTATCCCACCCTGTCCTCCTGTCAGTTCGACTTTACCGAACTGATGCCCAAAAGGGACCACAGCACCATCTTTTTTATTTGTAAGAGCTCTGAGGAATGCTACAGTGTCATAAAACACTTCAGAGATTACAGTCACAATGCAGTAATGGGCAATAGCCTGTGTGCAGGAGGAATACAGTTTCTATTTGCCTTATCCTTTCTCCACCAGACATCTGGAAAAGCAAACAGATGCCACACTTGTAGAAGCAGTAGAGCAGAAATACACCCCAAAAAGCATGGTTAAGAAAAAGGCATCTGATACACTGAAAGTCCTCATCCTACCTTGCAAAAAACTGGAGAAGAGGAGAAGGCTGCAGCCCTGCTCTGTACCAAAGCCCCTCACCTGAGGTGGTCTTTTTGGGGCAAATCCTACCCCCAGCTGTGGCCTGAAGGCTGCAGAGTAAGGGGCGAGGCCACCCTCCCCACAGCACCATGAAACTCCAGTGGCAGCTTTCCCTTGCTGCAGTATGTGGCATTATCAGCCTCCTTTTCTGATACAGCAGCACATCAGGGAAAAATACTTGAACCAGCAGCCAGGGCAGGCTCTGAGCTCTGCAGGAGAAGCTTCAGCCCCTTTCTTCTCTAATCACAGGTGTGAAGATTAACCATTTCAGATCTACAGTTAAGTGCTCAAAACAACTTGCAGAACTATTTTTGAAGGTAAATAAAGAGTATACATTTGTATTATTCTAGATATCAATATGCATACATGAATATTGATCTATGTGTGTGGAAAATTGGAAAATAAACTTCAAATTATACAGGGCAATGCAATTCCATTCTAGGATTCTGAAGACAATATTATCTTTCTTCTTTTCCTTGTCCATGATACAAAGAAAAAATATCTACATTAAAGATGGCTTTATTATAAAAAATAAATGAATATACAAAAGTTAATAAAGAATATTTTATTTGTGACATTTCTGTCTTTTCATAAAAAGCTGGCATTTCATACAAAGCCTGGTCTAATCTAGAAAGGAACTCGGAGATGAATACATTAGTTATACTATTGCAGCTATAGCAGCAAAACATTTTCATAGCAAAAAAGTCTTTCATATAGTAATCCTAGTTCAATTAAAGATGGCTTTATTATAAAAAATAAATGAATATACAAAAGTTAATAAAGAATATTTTATTTGTGACATTTCTGTCTTTTCATAAAAAGCTGGCATTTCATACAAAGCCTGGTCTAATCTAGAAAGGAACTTGGAGATGAATACATTAGTTATACTATTGCAGCTATAGCAGCAAAACATTTTCATAGCAAAAAAGTCTTTCATATATATATATATATATAAATTCCCTGTCAGCAGACATTCGACAACTATAAAAAGACTTCGTAAGTGACAGAAATAGTAATGCAGATTCAGTTTTAAAGAACTACGGAAAACCTCCCTAACCACTTACCGCTGATTGACAAAAGGAGTGGAGAACTCTGCAAGGAGACGGAAGTTTCCAAAATAAGCCAGCAGACCTTTGCTCTGGTTAGCAAAACAAAACAGACATACAAAAATCAACAATGTAGATGTGAAATTGTCATTTGAGTCTTAAGTATACACAGAATGATACAACATCTCAACTTCTTTAATCAAACTGAGTTTGCCAGCTGTGGCCACCTTTCTTGCACTTTCAAAGCAAGTTTTTTCACAAAAGCTGCAATTGTCCTTCAGGATATCTCCAATCAGCAGCTTCTTACTTCAAATAAACCTTTATAAGACCTACAATTAAATGGCCATGAGGGGCTAACTAGAGAAGACTTGCACAAGTAGTCATAGATTACTAATTACCATGTTAGCATTACTGTCTGAAAGAATCATAAACATTTTTGATTTTTCAACATTTAAACAAGCCCAAACAGAAACACTTTATGCTGAAGAAAAATCTGCCTGCATTGTTGTAGGAGCAGATTTTGGCAAAGTGAAGACCTATTCCCAGCTGTAATTTGACAGCCTGGAAGGGCACAGGAAGCCCTTTCTTCCCTCCTGCAGAGGGCAGGGGCAGCCCTTGCCAGCAGCCCTGCCGTGCCTGTGGGTCGGGCACAGCCCCTCCATGGGGCACATCCACACCACATCCCCTCCAGCTGAGCTCTTTCTTTCCTCCACTGACACACAGTATCCACTTAATTGCTGGGTAAGCAGCAGTTTGCAGATGTAGAGATAAAAAGATTGGGGGTTTTTAATTTCCTTAGGTTCCGTGACCAACCTATGGAGTGGGTGTCATGATTCCTCTTTCCCGCACCAAGCAAGCAAATACCCACTACTTCAAACTTTTCATGTCAGTTTGCATTCCACCAAAGAGAAAATCTGTGCATTTAACCAAGTTCTTTCCTATCCCCAAAAGGCAATTTGGAAATAACATACTTAGGGGTGACTTTCTCTGAAGACAACAGACTGAGAACAACACACTGGCATCCACAGGCAGAGCTACATCCACAAAGAAATAAATGCTTTTAAAGAAGCTCACACTAATATTATGCTTTCTGTTTCCTCCAGAAACAGCTCATGAATTTTCTGCATGGGGATTAGCCTTGGTGGTAGTATTTTCATTTATTCACTTTCATCCATGCTAATATTAGTAAATTTAATTATCTTCAACCAGAAACAGAGTATTTACCTGACAGCGTACTTCAGCCCCTTTAAACCATTACATGGGATATCTAACAGTAATCTGGCATCTCGACACTTTTAGTATTATAAGCCTGGGATTCACACAGTAGGCAGGGAAAACATCATTAAGGTTGGAAAAGACCTTCAAGATGAAGTCCAACCATTAACTGTGGTCTGTGTGCTCACCACTAAACCATATCCCCAAGTGCCACATCCACATGCCTTTCAAACTTCCAGGGATGGTGATTCCACCACTTCCCTGAACACTTGCCTGACCACCCTTTCAGTGTAGAAATTCTTCCTACTATCCAAAATAAACCTCCTCTGGCACAACTTGTGGCCATTTCCCCTTGTCCTGTCACTTGTTACCTGGGAGACAGAAGTAGAACATAACCACTTGAAACCATTTCCTTCTAACTTTCCAACTAAATATTCAAGCTTGTGGTTTTAATTAAAACGCTGTTCTATAACAATATGAAAAGCCCTTCTGTCAAAGTAAAAATTGAGAAAAGTTTTTTAAGTTCAACAAAGTTAAACATTTTTGTTGAAGTGTAACACTGAAAAGTCATGCATTTACCATAAATAGTTGATAAAAACATTTAAAAATAATGATTCAAAGTATAAGTATGCCTTTCATTAACCAGTGATTTTTTTTTAACATTAAGCAAGTGAGATCTATAAAAGCTGTTTCTTTAACCTCATCTGCTTGTTACAAGAAAATACAGCACTTACCAGTACAAAATAGTAAGCATACAGAGCTGCCAAGTGATGTATTACAAAAAATTTGTCACCAATTGCCTTCCAGTAGTAAATAATAAGCAACAGATCTACAAGAGAACAGAAATAACTATAGAGAACTATTTATTATACAATCATTGACCTCAGAATAGCGTCTCTAAGTTTTAGAGATATACCAAGATATGGCTTCAGTAGAAACCCTCTGAAATAACATCTGAAGAGAACATCTTTATCCTAAAGACTTCACTTCAGTCAAAGCATTAGGCAACAGCATTCTCTCAACAATTTCCATAAATGGTTATTTTCCAGATCAATGGAAATACAGATGCAATAATTTTAGCCAAAGTACTTTGGAAGGAAAAGGTGGATCCTGTATCTCATAGTGACTTCACACTTATGACCCCGAAAACCTGGAACAAATCGCATTTAAAAAAAGGCAGGTCTGCAGGGGGCATAGCAAACATACAAATACATGCAACAAATGCAGGGATCTATTACAGAGAACCTCCGAATCAAAAAGTGAAGTATATTAGTAAATTTCGAACCATTTACCAGAACTATTTTGCAAGAGGCATTAGAAATAAGAAGCATATTTGCATTATTAAATCCCGATTTTCTAATTACTGCAAAAGTAATTAGAAAAGTAGTAATTTTAATAGTAATTGCTATGGCAAGTTAGTGTTAAAAAGAAAGCTTTAACATAAAATAAACCCAAAAAAAAACCAACTAAAAAAAAATCTTTCCTTTCCCATGATGGTCTGAGAATTCAGAAGATCTTGTTCTCTGTACTGGAACAAGCAATTTCTGTCCCTACTTTCTGCAAATGAGTACTTTGGACTGGAATATTATTGACCAAGGTTCCAAATCAAAGACTTTACCCCTGTGCCTTTCTAAAGTCCAGAGTGTGCCTTGATCTCTTTTATATTAGCTATCCTCAGGCAGGGCTCTACATCATCTGACATATCTGCTCACTTCCTATTAATAATTAAACATCAACTATATAGGGAAGTGAGAGAGAATGAGTGGTCAGGTTGAGATGCCTGTTCAAAGGCATTCATTAATTCATAATGAAAGTTTAATGTATAATTATTCAAAAATAGATAGTGATTAATTTAAACATGGCAGCTAAAGCTATGAAAAAGCCCAGACACTTAAAATAATGCACAGTTTAACTGAATATGCTGATCACCAGATTATCACTTCCACTGGGATGACAAATCCAGTATGAGATAACCAAGTCTGTGGCCCAGTCTCTGATCAGAGACTTCATCCTAACATGAGAAGTTTTCACTGAAAACAGTCTAAGTCACAAGCTTTTGCTTTGATAAGCCATTATTATCCCTACACAACGTAAATGAAAGCTCCAAAGCATTTTGTAGCAAAATTTCCATGCCAATTTTAGTTGACAGAAAAACTAAGAACATAATACATATTTAGAAATAAGTAACATACAAAATAAATAATTCCCATGTTTTATACATTACTGAATTTTGGCTTAAAGGGAGACTAAAAGATAGGCAGGCAGGATCCATTTGGCTTGTATTGAGGGTTACTAAAATTATTCTGCCAGTATTCTGAGGCCACAGGAAGAAACACATGATAGAAGAGATACAAGCTGTAGGCACCAAGAAGAGAGTGAAGGGCACTAACACTAAGGGCTCTAACACCTTCTCAACTGGCCAAAGGACAAATCTGAGCTGGAGCTGGTGGCTGCACATCAAACCATCACAAAGCCACACAGTGGTATTTCCTCAGTGCTTGGGGAGATATTCCATCTTTCACATCTGCTAGCAGGATCCTGTGATTTCACCACAACCCACAAATCCATTAGCAATTTTAAAAGCCACAGTAGAAACTGTATTGTATATATGTACCACATCTTCACCTCAGTGGCTCAGCATAAACATATAGGTATAGAGACTCAATATACATAAACAGGTCACGCATGCTTTATACATGTTGCATAATTACCAGAAATGAGGTAGCCTGTGGTAATAGCAATATTCAGCTTCACAATTGAAGGGTCACCCCTGTAAACATACCAAAAATACATAGTTACAGCCTAATTTGCAAAGGACATACACATCTCAAACACAATGCCCATCAGGGCACATTATTCTTGCCTCATCAGTAAGAGATTATGCAATCTAGTTAAGAAGGGTTCTAATCACAAGTGAATTCCTTTTCCACCCAAACACAAGACACCTACTAACTACCCTAATCAGGATCAACCCCTGCCTCAGCACAGAGACTGCCCCAAGAGCCTTGCTAGAGATTTGAACTGAAACCCAGCAAGTACTCTGAGCTGGCTGCTCAGGAAACTGAGGATAAAAGAGGACAGCCCAGTCTCTGTCTCTTAGCCCTTTAACTAACACTCTGTGTCTCCATTTTTGTTTTCTGCCAATACTACAAGTTTGGTACGGGTGACAAAAATATCTTGCTCAGCTGGTGCTTTTCATATTCATAATCAGAAGGATGTTTATAGGGATAAACAGAGTAGAAGGACACAGGAAAGGAATTATTTGCCAGTTCTCTGGAGCCAAAGAACCTTTGAGCAGAAATGCTTTTCAGAGTAGTTTCCACACCTTCTATCCCTTCCCTTTTGGTGCCAAACATTCAGCAGGCAAAGCTCTTAGTAGCACACACACAGCTTCAGTTCCTCTAGAATGTTCAACAAACCCAAACTTGTGAATACAGCTCCAGAAAGGGAAGCATCCACATTACAGCAAGCAATGTTTGTTCTTTTCTCCACTGTCCTCTGTGCATTCCTACTTTGAGGAGTTTGGTAAGCAAGTCTTTCTTCCTTGGCACAAGGATTGTAACTTAATTTTTAAATTAAATTGTGCAATTAATCTAGCTATGTTTTGTGTAAATACGAATTGAGCTTCAAGTGACAGGTCAACAGATCCATAAAATGTAGACTGCTCAAGACAAGCAGTGAAAGCAATCCTTGTTGTAAACCTTTCCTGAAAACAGGAACCTAACTGTGCTTACAGCCAGCTCCAATACAAAGTCTGCCTCAGCCAGAACACAGTAAAATGCAATTACTTAACTATTTTTTCTTAATCCTATTGGAATGGAGTGGGAAGAGATTTCCTGTATTATTATAATCTGATCACTAAATTGTAAAGCTTTCTTAGTGTCTAAAACTAACTGTTCCCCTAAGTAAGAAGGTAGTTTACAGGAAAATAGGACTCACAAAACCAGAATTCTGCTGTTAGGTGAAGAAAAATCATTACTAGGAGAGTCTGGAATTCACTCCATCTGTTAAGATTGGCCGTAGATGTTCTTTTAAACACAGCTTGAAATGGGAACATTTTTCCATGGCTTCAAAACTTGATTTCATGAGCTACGTATGTTGTGGGCTGAGTGCTTCTTTAGGTTTAGACATAGAGTAGAGACAGATATGTTCTCCTAACTTTAGCAGGAACTCTTTACATAGAGTAAAGAGCTCATGTTAGAGCTCCCAGCTGCAGCTGCAGCAGCATCCTAACTAAACTTCTCAGGGGTCCCAACACACTTCAGCACACCACCAGCAAGGCTAAGCCTGTGCTCAAGAGCCTTCATATTCTCCAGAGAACATGCAAAGGACTGAGTATATGAAATTGGTTCCTTGATAATGGGAGACATGACTTAACTGGATGGGACAGGGAATGGTTCACTTCCCTCTTTTTTTTCCTCAGAGAATGGTTACTTTGCATCAAACCTCCTCTAGGCTTTGTAAACCAACACTTCAACAACATATATGATGGTGTACTGTCCATCTGTCACATCCCTTCAAGAAGAGTCTATGTTAGAATCCCAAATTATTCTCAATAAATTGAGAACTTAGGTCAGGAAATCTGGAAGATTTTAGACTAAATTCTATCTCCTTGAATAGAAGGTGCAATGGAATTAATGAGCCCTGCTGTCTGCAGGCCAGTTTTGATGCAAGCAAGAGCCCAGAGTGACAAACAGGGAGTGACTTGAATAAGCAAATGGGAAGAACTATCTCTTTGGTGATTGCTAAGAAGGTATGTGTGACAAATGAATTACACATGAAGACGCACGTGCGGATAGAACAAACAAAAGTCCATACCACTGACTTTCTTCAAACTTCTTTGCAGATACAGAGTCATATAAAATGCTAATCAAACATCAAACTTGAAAATTATGACTATGAAGTGAACAGTCATAGGAAAGAGCCTGTTCTCCTATGAAGCTACAACTTAATCCACTTATTTACGTCTTCTCCCTCTCCTTATCTGATCTCTACCACCTCCACATTTTCTACCATGTGATTCTCACCACCACAAAAACAATTTCTACATCATCTATATTAGTCTCTAGTACATACTGAAAAAAGGAAAAGTTTTATGAGAAGTCCTGGACCATCAAAAAATGTCACCCACAACACTGATGCTTCCCTGGAGCTTACCAATGCTCCAGTCTCTGTCACGATCTACTGTATCTATTTTCAGGCATTACCTGACAGTAATGCCACATTCTCTCTCCATTGAACCCAAACCCTTTGCAGGGTTCAATGGAGAACTTTCACACAGATATACACTATCCAGATCTGCTACAGCTTTTCAATTTCACTTTAAAATTAATACTGTAAATAGCAGAGTTTCAGTCATACTGATTTATAGTTACAGTTTATTCTTTAATAATTTAATATGCTATTTCAAATAAATTGCTTGTATTTTAGCTATTCCACTTCACAGAGACACATTGAACTAAGACACTAACACTGACACAATAGTTACCAAATTTTCTAATAGTACAGACATAAAAATGAACATATCACAACTGCATATTTTAATGGAAAATGAAACAATTATTCAGTACTTAATACACTGCAGGATTTTTTTTTTTCTTCTCAATTATGTTCTTTTATTGTGTAACCACAACATATATGTAACATGCCTTACCAGAGATGGTCAGCATTAACAGCATCATCGTACAATAAAATATAAAGGCAAAACCCTCCAACCACCAGGGCGTGGAATGTGGACACTGTCCTGAAAAAGAGATCACAGTCACAAGAAGGTACTGCCATTCACAGCTTCCCATACTGTGCTTAAGGCAGTATGTATACAGAGGCATTCTCAACTGCCTGCAGATACTTCTGTGGGAGACAATCATCTGTTCTCTATGCTACATCCAACCACTTACACAATGACAGGTGGAAAAAACCAGTCAAGGAGAAGGAATCTATTAGATTGGAGTGGGATTGACGATATTAGATACAAAGTGAGTCTTAAAAGTAAGGGAGATCTAAGTTTCCTTCAAATTATCCCATATATTAATGAATCCTTAAAGACAGTACGACATCTAGCTCTCTAACAAATGTTTTCTGTATTGTCCCCACTGCTGAAAATTGTATATGCAAATTCATATTCAGATTAGCCCAGCAGTTCTGCAACAGCAGCTTTCTCCTTTCAGGCACCAAATTAGAAGACCCATAATAAGTCTAGTTGGGATCTGGAAGGTAGCATTAAACAAAAAGTCCTAAGCTTCAGATAGAATTTCTAGTGCATTTGAAGTAGATTCTGGTTTTCAAAGAGAAAGCTACAACCAAGTTATACAAGTTGAGTACCCAAGGTATAACAGCTACAGGTTTATATCAATTAGCAGCTTTGTATCAGACAAAGGAACCATAAAATAAATGTCACAGTAATCAAAGTTGCCTTGTCCCTACCTGGGTACTAGACACATTTTTCCCCCAAAGACAACAGTCCCCAGTTGACAGGCTGCATGCACAGTGTAGATAAACTCTGCACGCTAACAAGCATGCACTTTTAGAGAAATATCTATTTACAGAAGCCCCAGCAGGGTTTCTGCCAGCACACAGGCCAGGGCCCCTCCTGCCCTTTCAGTCCACATGTGTTCTTGGAAGGTAGAACAATGCAATGGGCATGGGTCCAAAATGTGTAACCTTCCTGCTCTAGCCATGGGTTTAACACAACTATAAACTGCACCTAATACCATGTAGCTACTGTCTGCTTTCCCACTTTCCAAATGTAATTACAAAGAAAAAAAAAAAAAATTATGTGAAAAAATATCCATAGGAATCCCAGATACTGTTTGAAAGATGAGAAGTAAGTTGAGTGCTGTGTGATTGCAAATACTTCACACCGTATTCACAGCACCAACAATATGCACACAAATGCACAGATGCTGTTAGTTATTATTCCTGTCTTTGTACATACTGAGTACATATATTTGGAAGTCATTAATATTTTAGATGTCCTTAAGGCACTCTCTGGAATCTAAGTTCTACCATGCAAGATTTGAAGAAAACACCTTCCTTTCTGCAGAAGACTTTCCAAAGAAAGAGGTAATAATCCCTATTCCATTTCCAGAAGTGGTATTATTATCTATTGGAAATAGAAGATTCTGTAACTACTCATAAAAGAGACTGTATTTACAATTTGTTTCAAGAGTGTCACTGTGCTATTTTCAGCAGCTTTTTCAATAGTGTGCCAGAAAAATGAATGGAGATTAGTATAATATGAGTAGTCAAAAACTGGATGAGAACAATTAATAATCATTACAGCGCAGACTGCACTTCTGCCCTCTCGCCTTTTAACAAAGAAAGAAAATTTAATTATCAGAATTTTAACGAAAATTAATAGTTTAATTAAAAGGTCTACTCTTGTAACATGGGATTAAAAAAGATAGGAACTTTTCTTGCTTTTTAAAAACAAAGCAGAACATGCAATATTAGTCTCTGAGAAACACCTGGAATTTTTGAACTTGAGGAGAGGATAATGCTACAAGAAGGAAAATTTGTCCTAAAATATAGCTCATTAGTTTACAGTTGTAATTTGTCTTTGAAGAGGCCATTTACCTGAATCTTTCTGTTTAGAATACAAGTTATACACAAGTAAAACACTTGATGGGAGTGAAATAAAAAAAAAAAAAAAAAAAAAAGGCAGCAGATTTCCTCCTTAACTCTGGACTTTGAAGCTTCTCCACAGACAGGGCAGAAAAAGGGAAATAGTACAACAGTCCATTTTAATAAGGAATCTAGGTCAAGCTATCAAGCTCTGTACATTTCCTTGAAATTCTTTTCAAAGCTTGCATCCTTTAACTCCTCATTAAGCTGCAAACAAAAAAAGCTGCAATGCTAGGTTGCAGACTTGCTTCTTTATTATTGAATATTTTTTTTTTCACAACTACTTAATAGTATTACAAGCATGTATTACAGGAGAGGCAATAGGAATGTATGCACAACTTGAAGAGTTATACTACATCTGTGACTGAATATAGTTTTTTAATTCAATTTGAGTGTCCATATACTTCAGATGCCAGAAGCAATTACTTTATTGGTTCATAATTCTTGGAAGGTCAGAATGAACAAACTGACAGCATGGAAAATACAGTCAAGAGCTGCAGCTCAAATGCTTGATTACAAAGCGCTCCAAACTGTAACAATATATTTTCAATGTTATAGCTCATTTCAGGCAGATGCCCTCTTCCAGACCCAGCTGAGCTGATAAAAATGCATAACCATCCTCTGTGCCAGTTTCCTTAGCACTGCCAACAGAATCATTTGTGTGCACTCCCTACACCAGTTCAATATAGGACAAAATAACAACCATTTACTTTTAAATAATTTAAATGAAACCAACAGATTTTACTGGGACATAGTAACTGTATCTACCTGCAGAACTCTCTGCAGAATAAATACACACTCCTCTGCATTCTCTGAACTTGCAAGATACTCCCTGAGGCCTCTCTGCATTTCGGTGAAACACTGGAGTGACAGGGCAGTTTGACAAAACACTGTGTTTGGTTAGCAGAGCTGAAGTAACACAGGCACAGCTAGCCTTTCTTTCCCTTCATGCCCTCCTCAGTTATAACATCCACAAGATGCTGATGAACCATGCTTTGTGTTTCATGCCTTCTAACTCCTGAACTGGATGAAGCCCGGGATCACAACCCATCTGTGTGCTAACATCTACATCCTGCTATCAACCCCAAGGCTAACATCTACATCCTGCTATCAACCCCAAGGAAAAAAACTGTGCAAAGAGGTAAAAAGGGACATAGCCTGGGGTACTGTATCAAGTTGAGCAGTTAAACACCTTATTACAAAGTAGCCCAGAGATTATGGAGCAGCTAATTTCCAGCACACTTGTGATGTGTAAAACAATTCATGTTATTATGCAAAGCACTACACCAGCATAGTGCTACCAGGCATGGGGTAAGTTCTCATAAAGCCTATTATGCAATTCAAAGGCCATTTGATGTGGCTGTAGACAATAGTTCAGTTTCACAAGGGAACAGTTTAGTTTACTTTCCCTGTCTGCCTCTTATTGTTAATTGGAACAGAGGTAAACCTAAGCTGCACTGATACTGTGAACTGGCATCCTACAGAGTTGCTCTGGCAGATAGGTAATTATTCAAAGTTGGAACTGAAATCAAGATGGTGCCTTTAAGAACATTGCAAGTGGACATTTGCCAAATGGAAGGGCAAGGCTATTTGAGTTGCTAATGCTGCCTAGAACAATGGAAACAACTTTAAAAGTTGTTGTGTCCACCTGACACTAACAGCACTGAGGAGGAACACAACTGCGACTAATGCATTTCGATAGCAGTGACAACCATCCAGTACACATTTTTGAGCTTTAAATTTGGGAATCATCTGAAAAATATTTTAAAGTTGTAATAGGCTACTCAAAGGTATACTGTACCTATTAATTTCAACTGGTGAACCGTATGTACTATATATACCCTTTCAGAGTAGTATGTTGCAAATAAAACCTCACTGATCACCCCACTTTCCATTACTATCGTATACTTCCCTTATGGCTTAAAAGACTCACGGGTCAAACAAGTTTCTAGAAGCCCTGTATCCGAGGGGACAAGTGAAATGCAGGTGGATCCATCCCACTGATGGAAATGCAGAAACACAGAGAGAGTGAGGAATGTTTTTGGACTGAGTTTCCACAACTCCTCCCTGCACGTGTACCCTGCATCTGCTACAGCTTCCCCTCCTCCTCCTGCAGTCTCCCTTCCCTACAACACACATGAACCTGGCTCTTTTCAATACTACACCAAAGTGGCATTAAATTCTTTGGAAAACCTTTGGATAACCTATATAAAACAGTTTGTAGTGTAGTAGCACCAGGTGAACAAACTACTTTGCTCCTGAAAGCATGACCAGAGATACACTGGGATTTAGAATAAATTGCAATAGTTTTGATTTTCATATGTGTTTGGAAAGGAATTTTTTATCTCTTCTCTTTACTAGAAGCATCACAGAGCGTCCCTTCAATTTATTACCTCTCATCAGTCACTGTTTTGTCTTTGTACTGACCTTTACTTGGGCATCACTGTCTAACAAAGCATTTAATATACAAGTGCTAGCAATGCTGTGTCTCCATGAAGGGGCCTCAACATTTCACATGCGTTATTTGTCCAGTGCCTAGAGCCAGCCCTCTGATCTTTACTTTTAACTAATAGGGTTTTCTTCAGTCTTACACATACACACACAGGTGGTTCAAATGTCCATGATTTCAGGTAAATCGTTAACTGTTGTTGTTTTGAACACTTTACCTTGAATTCCATTCGATCTTCCTTTTTTGGCTGAGATTGTTAAAACCAGGTGTTATTTGTGCTGACACCCAAGAACTTACAACGTGGAACAAGAGCTGAAATACAGTAAAACTGGCAAGAGCAATGCCAATAGTCAGGTTGCTGAAGGAAGCCATTGTTCTTCAACCTGTGAAGAGAAGCAGAAGGTAATTTCACTCCATTCTCCATTTAACTATTTTAAGCAAACACAGATACTGTTTTTGACAGCAAACTTATTCACAGAAATATTATTCACTACAAGTTTCTACCTGTTCAATGTCTCTACTTAAGCATTAACAGTATAAAAGTATGTCCAAACTTTTAGATACACAAGTTGCATTTTAGTTTCGGTTTTTTAACATTTGCATATATACATTTTTGTGGCCTAAAATTGCATGTATTTTATCTACACAGAAAGGGCAGTGAAGACCACTGACCAGGCCAACTGCCAGCTCTGCAGCCTCCACTCCTGTCCCAAGAATCTCCAAAGTTAAAACTTGTTTCATTATCGCCAGATTGACTGCTGCCAACAGGAGTTTAAAATGCAACAATGCAATCAGAGAAGCACAGAAGAGAGGTTTTTGGGTCAGCCCAGAGGAGCAGTAGCTTTGCTGCAGCTCTGTTTGTGCACTTTGCAGAGGCAGAAGCTCCCCATTCCCACTGGGCTCAGCCAAGAGCTCGTCCTTGGGACAGGCTGTGGGCTGTTGCATCGGAGCTTTCCTCCTCCACACAACTCCAACCTCCGCACATTCCCACTCAGCGCAAAGCCTCTCTCATCAGAGCTGATTGACTGTTCACTTGCTGGATGTTCAGCTATTTCATGAGGTCTAAATACCAAAACAATTCCAAACAGAACTGTCAGTCTCTAAACGCTTCAGTCGTTTTTCCTGAGTCGCCAGTATTTGCAACACAGAATGATATTTTCCCAAAAGCCACAAACCTCTGACATGCATCTCTAATTTGACAGTGAAGTGGTTTACACTCCAAGACTGGCAAAAGGTACAAACTCAAAAAATTTCAATTTAAATTAAGTCGAACTGGAGAGTGGAGAAAAAGCCAAACGGCATTCATTTCAAATATTTAAATAATTATTTTAATACCTATAAAAATGCTGTTACTTATTTTAGTTGTACTTAAGAAAATATCTAAAGATAAAATGAAGACTTTTAGGACAGCATAATTTGATTTTACTACAGCAACCTAATGGTCAGCAAAAGCAATACAACGATGTAATACATTTATGTCCACCTTTTTTTCACGTGCATTACAGAACAAGTGAACATGCCTTAGATCTTTGAAATTGTATGTGCATTGCAGATGGTAACAAACTTGAACTTCAGGAAGAAAATAGAGGAAAAAGTCCACCATAATGACAAAATGATAACTTTTTTTTTTTCATCAAGTACAATATTCTCACTTTGGGGTGTAAATGGTTAATATATTGAAACATATAGATCAGAAAAAACATTATTTCATCTTCAAAGATTTAGAAACAGAAGGTTCAATGGTCTCAAATTTTTTCCTCTCTACCTCCTTCTTTTCTGTTTATTCTCCAGAATTGAAGACAAAACTTCCTCTGACTAGTACCCACAGAGCTACAGGTATAAAAACAGAATGCAGGACAAATAAGAGCAGATTTGCTGAGTGAAACCTGTCTCTATCATGTAGATTTCAAGTGCTAACTTCAGACCAGCTTTAATTCTGTCCTAGGGACCCCAAAATTCTTGGAACATGTTTGATGTGCTCCTAGGACCTATCTTCCTTCTCAGTTGAACCCAAGAGGAATCCAGCTTGCATGCTCTGGGACAACTATGCAACACAAATCACAGGGGGTGATTCAGTTCATAAATGCATTTTTAATCCAAACTAAAATTCGGATGTACACACACTGCAGTGCATTGCATTAAACTAATTGATTCCAGTTGTTTTCTGATGACCTCTTCTAGTGCAACAGCATATAAGTCCTGCATACTTTATGTTATCCTAACAAAACTTCCAATTTCAATTACAATCCTGAATATTCACTATTCTTGATTCTCCGCATACTTCTCCATTTGCCTACACTGATCAAGAAGAGACAAAACACAAACCAAATTTTATATCTTTTTCACAAAAAGGACCAGAGACAATGAGTGTTAAGCTCAATTTTCTAAGACCTTACCATTTGAAGGAATAAAACATAATAAAGTGGGAACAAACCCACTGAGAAGCACTGTAGATTGTCCAGTTCCAGATTCTAACCCCAAGGACAAAACTTTGTTATTACATTATCTCATATGTAGCAACCAAGTATTCTCTCGGACAACATAAGGAAAAAGAAATTATCAGTTGGTTTAATGAAGGAAGCCAAAATGCAGGTTAAGTACAAATCTCTTCAGAAAAACAGCAAAACTACTGAGCATTAACCACGCCTACTTCATCCTTTTGACTAAAATATAGCAATTCTCATGATGCTTCATTTTTTTAATCTTCAGCAACTACACTAGTATCTCTGATGTCAAAGACACTGACATAATCTCTTGGACAAGAGAAAACCATGCTTTGTTTTGTTACCTTAGAAGATTTTATTAGGCAAGTAATGTTTCAGCTTTTGACAGGTGTTCATTTTAGTACAGATTATGGAATTAAACAAACCTTGCAAGCATCCCTTGAAAGAAATGCATTAGAAGACTAATGTTTCACCTAAGGAGCCTGTGGAGGGAACTCCTTTTTAAAAAAGGTACTTGCCTGGAAAGTGCATGACCTGACTTTCAGCAAATGCAGAACCACGATGCCCATGAAGGAGAATGGTTTTAGAGAAGAGAGGCAGACAAAACATTAATCCCTAAGCTTCCCTGGTTGGTCTCACAGATGCTCACGTTTTGCAAGCCTGGTTTCATATATGCTTACCAAGATGCTGTTTAAGTATAGCAACTACCAAGTCCAGAATAATTTTATGCTTTACCTCAGCAATTAATAGTGTCACATTTTAATTCAATTCAAGAACCTGGTGTAAATAAAGCATTGCACACAAGTTCAGCTACAAACATTGTCCTATATCTATAGGTTGATATTTTCTCATATCTCTACGTTGTTTTCAACTGTATCCTGTTTAACATGAAAATTTACTGGTTTTTACCAGATTTTCTTTTAATTTAAAAGAAAAATTATTCATGTTGCTGAACCTAAATAGCTTGTTGCATTGTGCTTGTTGACTTAAAACAAGAACAATTAGCTTCTGATTACAATTTTCCTTGACAAAGTCCAAAGTTAGTAAGCCAGGCAGCTTCAACTACACTGTGGGGTTTTTTCCCCAAGTATCTTCTCGTAGCTGTACAGCAAAGTCTGATCAAGATACACAACTTTGTGGATTATGTATGAGCAGACACTTTATCACCCAAACTGCATAGTCATTGATTACTGTTCTGTCAGCTGATACAGGGTTTGAGCTAATGGGAGGCTGGCTGGGGAGAAGGTTTAGTGTAACTACTTTGTAATGCAGGAAAAACAGCACAATATACAGGTTGGTTCTCCACCATTAGCATTTGCCTTGCCTACCCAAAATTACTGTCTTAAACATTCAGTTAGACAGTAACTACATATGATCAGAACTTCACTCTTGCAGCTTTTCAATGGAGTCTTTAGGTAAATATTACCAAATACTTGAAACTAACATTTTTACAGCAAGGTATTGCTTACATGCCTAGTGTGATTTCAAATGACTCCATTGACCCAATAGCTTTGAATAGGTTAATAACACAGGTTTTTTCATCATACTCTGGTAAGAGCTAAAAATATGTTGGTTTTCATTTGCTATTAACATGCAGTGGTTTTCCTGCAATTCTGTTACCACTTGAAATTTACAAGGAAAAGCAATAGCCAATCACCCCCACATGATAACACTATGAACTCCTGATAGAAACAAGTTGGCACTTAATGAAAGAGGATAAAGGAGCAGGAAAGTTATGAAGTGTTGTACCATCAAAAGCATTTAGCATTTACATTCTCCTTCTCTTACTGTTTGGCATGCAACAGTATAACGAGACATGGTAAGAAGGTGCAGTGGAAGACTTAAGGCCCACAGCCCTTACTTTCTTCGAGGCTGGATTTCCAGATGAGTTGGATCAATTTCCAAACAAGATTACACCGTAAAGCTGATATTGATACCAGGACATTGCATGAAATACTGTGCTCTCCTGATCCGCTTAAAACTGAAAGCCAAATCCAATAGCTGTAAAACTTGTCAGACCAATCTGCAGAGAGCAACACTGAATACTGACTGTTTCCACATTTTATAATAAGCCCAGTAACAAAAGCAGTGCTGGAGCTTTGCTGTGCTCTTGGTTCTGAATGGTAGATCCTATTCGTTTGATATCTTATTTGCTCAGTAAGCAGCGTTAAGGAGAAACACAACAAAATTCAAGCTACTCACACTTAAGCCGTTCCCTTTTCTATTTAAGACTATTCACACCCTAAACTCCACGCAGCTTTCTGCTCTCAGAACATCAAAGCAACCGGCAGATCAAGCATTCTTATAAAGGCAGTGTACTCAGGATGAGGTGGCCGCTGCGATACCATTCACCGAATTCCCTCAAACCCCGCAATCAGTCTGGAGTCGCTAAGCCCCCAAGAGGGACTCGGCCCAGACCCGGTGGGCGCGGAGGGCCCCCGGGCTGACCCCGGGGACGCTGCCCCGAGTCGGGCATTACCTCTCCGTCCCGGTCACCCGCGGCGCCCGCCGTTCGCACCGGCCCCGAGCTGCCGCCGGGCAGGCAGGCAGGCAGCGGGTAGGAGCAGGCAGGAGAGCACAACAGCGGGCAGGCAGCGGGCAGGAGAGCACAGCAGCGGGCAGGCAGCGGGCAGCCTCCGCGCTCGCTCCGGCCGCGGCGGCGGGAGGCGGCGGCTCCGCGCAGCCCTGCGCTGTCAGCGCGCCGCTGCCTGCGGCTTGCGGCCCTCGGCCCCCGGGGCCGCCCCGCGCTGAGGGAGGGAAGGGACCGCTCCACCAGCCCCGCGGGGCGGGGGAAAGGGGCCGCACCGCCCCCGCCCCGCCAGCCCCGGCCTCTCAGCGCCCTACCGCCTTCCCTCCCTGCCCGCCGCACCTGAGACCGCGGTTACGGGGGCTGCGGCGCCGCCTCCTCCTCCTCCATGCCTTCCCCGCGGCGCCGGGGACGGGACAGCCCTTCCCGGGCGCAAGATGCTCCGGCGGGGATCGGGTTACGGTAGCCGTAGCCTTAAAGGGGCCGAGCCGCCGCCGCCACCTGCCGCCGGGCTCCGCTCACCGCCTCCGAGGGGCCGCGGCTTCCCCGGACCCTCCCCCCGCCCGCCCCGCGCTGAGGCCGCCGCCCCCTCTCCGCGGCCGCCCCCTCTCCGCGGCCGCCCCCTCTCCGCAGCCGTCCCCGCGAAGCCGTGCAGAGCGGGGTTCGGCAGCCCACGGGAATGGCCCGGGACCGTCCCGCAGCTCCTCAGCGCGGCCCCAGCGCAGCCGCGGGGACAGCGCGCGGCCGGAACCGCCCGCGCGGGCAGCGGGCCCCGCCGGCCAGCCCGGCTGCCAGCGGCGCCCCTGCGAGCTGCCACCATGCGCACAGGGGCCCTGAACGCTGCTGAATGTTCATGGGGTTTGTGCTGGGGCAGGATAAAGGCCAGCCAGACACAGCACCTCACCTTCCAACATTTTAGTCACTGTGTCTTTCACTTACACAGCCCGGTTGTCTGAAATGTGTCATGCGAAAAATGCTGACGTGACCGTTCGTGCCCTAGGAATCCATTTATGCGCTCTTTGGGAGCACTGTACAGCACAGAGCCATGGGGAACACACCCATCACAGAGAGAACAGGTATTGCCAATACTTGCCATTTACTAAATTCGGTGCTGTGATTTGTGGCATTTTTTTTTATTTTGCATTTTTGAGCTGTTGTGTTGAAAAGCAGAAGCAAACTTATGTTGACAAAATTAAATACAATAGATAGACACAGTCTTTCACCAACTAGAAAATGCAATGGTCATGACTGTTCCTCTTGGCATTCTTCTGCTATCATCCACATCCTAAACCACCTCAATTTTACATTTCCACTAATGATTCCTGATTAATAAATTAAAAATTCTCCTCTAACAAAATAATGATGAAGGTACTAATATACATCTCACTCTACAGTTTGAGCTGCAGCTGACAAGTCATCTACCCCACTATGTACGCTGATCTCTCTTGCAAGACATCTCCCATGGCAGGAATGCTCTGGCTTAAGCCTGACTAGAAACTGATGTTGGCTTGCCTTAATGCGCCAATCTGCAAAATGCAGAAACCCAGGTGCTGATTAATGAGGCATTGAGCCATTCCTGCTGCAGAAGTGGGAACCTGTGGGAGGTGGGCAGGGCACACTGCCAGCATCTCTAACTGTTTGCAGCCAACTTGGCGTAATCCATTGCTGGGCATGAACCAATGACCAGGTGTTTGTGTAAACATCGGAACTACTGAAGTTTGCTTTCCTGTGGACTGGTGTCTTATGATTGACCAGCTTTTGAATTGATTTTTGTTAACAAAATTTTATGAGATGTCCTCAGACAAGTGAAGGGGATCCCACTCCTGTTTCCAGTCTCCTTCCATTTCAAAAACAGATGGACAAATAAAAACAGCAATACCATATGAACACAATGTCAACACAATCACTTAATTTCTTAGTGAAATTAAGATTAAAACCTCATGTCTTACTCTGATGTCATATCATTCTTGATATAAATGAATATTCAACCTATTTTCTACTACATCTTCAATTTCTAGTGAATCAGAATAGCCACCAAATCCTAAGAACTCAATGGTAGAATCATAAACCACTTTTAAGATCACATAAACCATAAAAATTCCAGGAGAATTTTTTCTTCATTAATTCACCTTCCAAAGAACAGCCCTCACTTTTTGCTCAATACAGTATCAGTGACTTCAAAGTTTCCTTACATATACCCTTTTCTCTTTTAAGCTGTAACAGCTGTGACACCAGTACTCCATATGGACAAGCAGTGAACTTCTGGGGTGCAGAGGACCTGCAGTGGCAGTAAAGGCACAAATGGTTGTTCTCAGGCCTGCAGGTACTGGCAAGGACTCTTTCCCCTCATGGTTAAGAAGCAAAGGCCAAAGGCTCTGAACAAGCTCTGGCAGATTTAGCTGCTGTGTTTTAAGATGTGATTTCTCTCAACTGAAAGGAGAGTACAACAATGCATGTAGTTATTCTTTTAACATGCCAGCCTGTAACCTGGAGTCTCCACTGTAAGAGTGTAGTAATACCTAACAGCAGAGTAAAATAGCATCTAGAAGACAAATGAGACTCTCCCCAAGCCTCTGTATCGGGCCTGTGTAGCATACAGCCTACCAAAGAATTCCTCTGGCCCAGTGTGCTGCGTGGGTGAAAAAAACGAGTTTGTCCTGCCTCGCTGTTCTCCTCTTGGCCTGAGATCAGCACTTGTTGAGCACGCAGCAGATCGTGACCAGAGGCAATGGCCTCTTTCAACAGCCCCATGACACCTGCTGGGTTGAGAGCTGCTAACTGTAAAGGTGAGAATGGTGATGCACTGAAGATTCCTGACTGGCAACTGCTCTCCACATGAGCATACAGCAGGGTACCTCTCACACTTTTGACAAAGAAAATTTGCAAACAAAGAACTAGCTATGGGGAAGCATGAAGGCATTGCCAGTAGAAGGGAGACCTCTAGACATGGCTCGATATGGCTACCATATCCAGGTTGTCTTAGATTGGTTGTCTGTCCTCTTTTCCAACCAGAATTGCTTTCCAGGGAGAACTGTGTATGTCCAGGATTTTGAACTGTGTACATCTAGGATTCTTGGTATCTAATAATCTCATCATGTTATTGCATATGTGCAGCAGTCTCAACCTTGGATCTCCCGTGTCCAGCAATCCCAGAGACCTCAAAGCAAACACCATAGGCCCATATTCTATAGGTAGTGTAATGCCAACAAAACTGAGGGAGTGTTCTATCACTTCTGCAAAGTGTTGCATGAACAGACCACACCATTACTTTGAGCATTTCCAGCAAGTCCTAAAAGTATAAGGCTTGCTGTACTTGCATGATGCAACCAGAGCACCTTTTTCTGCATCAGAAATAGAGTAGCCAAAGGGTGGGATAAAGAGCTACCAAAGCCAACTGTATCACAGCCACCTGGCTGCTGTACAGTGGCCACAATCTGGCTTTCACAACTAATACACCTCTTCCTCCCTCCCTTGTGATGTGCAGCCATCACCTTCCAGCTGCTGCAAACCGAAGGTGCCCCTGCAACTGCAGGTAACAGCTGCAGCTTCCAAAGTGAGGCTTCAGAACAGAAGGGAAGTACTGCAATGGGCTTGCTAAGGTGAGCTGCAGAACAGAGATTTAGCAACACAAGGCAAAAAATAACAGTGTATTCCATGTCAACACATATGCATAGCAAAGGTAGGGAGGATGGGGAGGTATTACAGTAGCATTTGCAGGTAGCAGCATAATTCTGTTGGCTTCTGCTGAATCATCTTATTTGTACTATGTAAGAGAAAAAATAGGGCTGTGCTTTTCATCTGTCCTTTAATTACAATAAAACTTCTTGATTATATTGATGATTTTCAACTTCATGTCAATTAGACCCATTAATTCCATAAATGAAGAGTAAATTTGGATAAAATGGATGGGATTTGTTACAACAGGGCAGTAATTGGAAGGCAGCCCAAGATGAGTAGTCAAAGACTACAGTAATCTGTCCTCAGCTGAGTTGTACACACCTGTTCTGTACCCTTCTCCTTCTGGAATTACTTTCAGAGTGGCACTTCAAGTATGGTAAAAATTTGTTGTCAGATGACTGCTCCCACTAAAATCTGCAAGAGGGATGTGACCATAAAAGAAAAATACACAGTAACCTTTCCAAAGTATGCCTGTAATTTCAGAATCGTGCTTTCCCAGAGCTGAACCTCCTTCTGCCAAGAATGAAATCTTTACCATGGTTGGTGTACTGAAAAGTGAGACATAGGTGAGAAAGAAAAATACTTTTAGAGCATTTGAAGATTATTTCAGTTGTGGTTTTAAATTCACACAGGATGTAACTAACCTTTCTGTCTGAATTTACCCACTGTAGTAAGAATAGATCTTAACGAATGTTTAAAGCCTGAGGAGTTTATGAAAGAAATTGTATAACAAGGTGTTGTAGAAGCAGTGGATTGAATTCAGTGACCTAAAAAATGCTTACATTTATTTCTGTCTTAGGAAGTTCCTAGGTCTACCTGTCAGCAGCAGGATATATTCCCATAAAATTAATTATACATGTAAACAAAAATATCATGAAGATTAAAGAACACAGGAAAGACCAAGCACAACTCTTCTTTCACAACACTGTGAATCAAGAGTAACTTCAGTGCAGCCAATGAGTTACAGTGGTGTGAGTGAGAAAAGAACCAGCTGCATTGTCTGAAAATTACTTGGGCCACCCATGGAGTCCAATCACAGGAACTGCAGGCAGCTAATATTGCAGCATTTAATTCAGAAAGCCCAAGCCTGAAAAGAGGAGACTGAAAAGAAAGGATCTGAATTTGGTTTTGGTTTTAAAAACCTCTGAAAAATAGCAGGAAAATGGTGAATGGAAACGAAAAAAAATACTCAATTTCTAAAAAATCCTCCCTTTCAGAAAAAAAAAAAAAAATTGCATAAACCAAAGAACAAATCTGTATGCTTTGGGCTTTTTTTGACACCCTGCAGGTACCCAGTTAACAGTGGCTGAGCTGTATGCTTCCCTGAAGGGAAAGTGTTATCTTGGCTTTCCAAACAGCAGCCACATTTTGTAAGTTGATGCATACTGTGCTACACTTACTCACATGAGTGCTGCAGAACGAGCGTCACACCTTTCCAGCACAGGTCACTCTAACATATCCTACCACATTTTTAAGTAGTAACGTTCCTTCAGTTTCCTGCTTTAGTTTACTCCCTCTAAACACACGCTCCATTTTTCATCTGAGGTCAGTGAGTTTAACTTTCCCAGCTCCTGTCAGCTCCCACTTGAGAGAGCATTTCTGCCAGGAGTACTTACTGTCCATAAGAGAACAAAGGCTTGTTTCTGGAAAGCTGTCTGTTCATGAACCTCTTCCTGTCCCTTCCTCAGTTTTCTTCCAGTTTTTCTGTCTTCTCCATTTGTGTCTCTCATCACACGCTGTCTCTTTCATCTATTTACATCTCACCTGCAGCATTACCCTCTCCATTGGTATTATTGTCCTGATCATAACTGTCCAGAAGCTACTGAGGACCTGTAAAACAGCACACTGTGAGCTTACCATGTTGCACTAGAAACCCCTACACTGATGCACCACGTCAGCACTCTGACAAGACATCAAACCACATTAAGACAGATGCGCTGAGTATTATCCACAGAATTCACAGGAACGCCGTCTCTCTTTTTCTTTTCCAGGTCACTCTCTCCCCTTTCCCCCCCCCACCTTCTACTTTATATTCTATTTTACTATCACCTTTTCCTTTCCTGTCACTTTATTTTCTTCCTCCCCACAGTTCTCCTCCCCTGGCTTCCTTCAGTGTCCACCTCACATTGCTCCGTGTATTTTCTTCCCTCTGATGTGCGTGCACAAAGGAGTATAATGGAGGCAGTACTGCAGCTTTGTTAAATGTGTCCTTAGCTCTTTAGTAAACAAAGCTGTAACTGGGTGCATCTTTGGGATCTGCAAACCAGAAAGGTCTAGAAAGGTCTGTTTCATTCCCAAAGGCTTAAGCCAGAGAGCTCTGAGATTTAGAAAATTTCTTCTAAAATAATAATAAAATAATAAATAAAATAATCTCTGACATGAAGCACACCACAAACAGGAGGAGGAATTGTGAAAGAACACCCGATTCTTTTCTTCACATGCACATATTTCCTTTTGCTTTGTGAGCTGAGGCTCTTAGCAACAAAAGCACTGTAGAACAGGGTAGTGACTAGAATTTGATGATGTCAGAACAGCAGAAAATTGAAAAATATGTACTTTGTAATGGCATACAACTGGAAATAATAAAATTGGTGCCAAGCAGTGCTAAAACCAAACAAAATGTTTCCCAATAATTCAACATACACAGGGTCAGAAAGCAATCCGGGTTTTAATGTTCTGACTGGTAATTAAAATCAGCATAATCAAGTGCAGAACAAAACAGTGCTTGTTGATACAAGGTATTTTGTTTTATGGGATAACATCAGACTTGCAGGTAAAAAGACAGAGCACGTGCTCTGGATGGTGTCACTCATCTGTATGCTAAAGATAGCTTCCAAGCCTCGCTTAGCTCCATCTGAACTTTGGCACACGTCACAGCAGCTGCACAGCGTGTCACTGTGCCTCCTCCTGCTTTCCACAGCATGGAAAGAATGGCTGGTAAGGGTATTTTAATGGCAGATGTGTGACTGAACAGGTCAAGTAGCTTCTTCAGACAATATCATTCCCTTTGAATGCTTTTTCAATATTTTCAGATTTTTCAAAAAACTTTCTATCATGTTTAGTGATTTTTTGATGCTCTGTTGATCTGCGAAAGCCTTGAGGAAACAAGGAAGGAAAATTGCTTGATGACACAAGGAAACAATAAAACCTGATCCATACTCATTTTATATATGTCTAAATGCTGTTGAAATCTAATTTAAAAAACTAAATAAAAAAGCAAGAAATTGTTTTCCACATAGTTCTCAAGAGCAGTAGTCAATAGTATTTGTAATATTTTTTTTTCAGAGAACATGACTTTAAAATTTATATTTCTTAAATATTAAAACTTTTTAATTTCATATTTGGGGATAGATATTAAAATGGTGTCATATATTGCTTCAAAGGTAAATATAATTTATGTCTTAATTTTGTAGTTTAGGAGGTCCAGAATGTATTATTCATTTTTCCTTTATTACTAATAGTGAATTCTAGCAAAGCCCCTGCTTTTAGCACTGCTACTTAATATTGTGATTATTTTCTAATTTTGCATTGACATTATTATAGATTCTTACCTAGGGTTTAATTGTTAGTCTGCATTGATATCAGGAGCTGTAGTGATTTCCCTGCCAAGGCCTTGTTCTGTATATTAATTCATACAGACATGTTCCTTTGTACAATTCTAGTCATAGGAAGGACATCATGCTCTAGAGTGTTCTTTCAAATCTAAGATTTAAGACAGCAGACCTGGTAAAAACATACAAAAAGACAAGAAACTTCATTAAATACAGCAGTGCTAAAGTACAGAAAGAAAGCTTGCCTTTCAAATCAAGAGAGGCATTTTGTTTAGGCTTCTACTTTCAATGACACTATTCAACACCATACCTTACTGATTAGATAAATACTAGAAAAGTATTGACTACAAAACCTAAGAATACATAAAAATAATGAAAATACAAAATTAATCCTAATTCTATATGTGATTAGATAGATAGATAGATAGATACAGAGAGAGAGAGAGAGATGGGTAGATAGATATAGATTAAAAAATATTAAGGTGGAAGAGTTTCACCATGAAAATGTATCATGCAAATATTATAAGTGGATTTGAAAAGTCACCTTGTGAATTGCACCAAATATATTGTCTAACTGAATAAAGTGCAGAAAAATTGCAGTGATATATACAACTTAGAACATCTTGGTTGTGGTTTTTTTCAGTGTTGCCCATTTCCTTTTATTTTGTTGTAAACATAAACATTTTTCTGTGAGAACTCTACTGGGACTGCTGGAAGAGCCAACATTTCAGCACCTGTTAATCTGATTTGCTGGATAAGGAACGTTACACATCTGGAGTTCCTCTGGTTATGTCCTCTTCTTCTGTTTGGAAATTATGCTCCAGTGGAAACAGGAATCTCAGCACTGAAAGAGGAAACTTTGCAATTAAAGGTATGTTGGTCAACTGCAGTGCACATACACAGACCAAAACATTCCAGTCCAATGCCACGTTCTGCAGTGCCAGGTCAGGGGAGTTCTGGCCACACTGTACTCCACACGTATGCACTCCTCAGTTTCACTTGGAACAAACCTTTCTTTTGTGTGTACAGTACTCTTTAAAGGTGATTGCAGTTACAAACAATTCATCAATTAAATAATAGTAATGATAATAATAATCATCATCAAGACTTATACAAGCTCTTGGCTTGACTATTAGCTGCTTAACAATTGCTTGCATTTACAATTGTACCAGTCTTCAAACACAAACGTACAATCAAAAAGACAACTATTTTTTCTTCAAAGTATTCTAAAAAGAGTATGAAATCACATGTAAGGTTTCTTTTTGAAAATTATTTCTATTATTTATTTGTTTTAGTCAGTGTTAGTAAATTGGAAGCTGACATTGGAAGCTGACAAAACTTTTGTTTCCACATGTATAAATTTTTTTCTTTTCAGTAATATATTAATCACTAGTCAGCTAAATAATTAACACTATAACTTAACTCTAAGTAATTGTCTCATTATCACTGTTTAATTCACAGGCACTGTAGTCGACCAGCTAACTCTCTTGACACCTTAACGACACATTAAATTCCCAGTAACTAATGCAAATGGTTTATAATTTCCTAACATTCATTAAAACTGTAATAAAGGCAAGGACATTCTTTTCTTGTACTGTCAAACAGAGAGAGAACAGTATTACACATCACCTGTGCTTGATGAAAAAAAATGTGAGGTGTATCTGTTTTTAAATCTTATCACATAATTAAAGACTGTTAAAGTACAGTGCAGAAGGCAAATTTTATTGGCAATAGCTGGACTTTAGACTGTGTCAGCTAACAGGGTTTGCTATGGTTGATATATATTTTAACTAAACAGATAAGAAAAAAAAGAATTTCATATTTTGAAATTGTAATATTTTGTCTCACAAGTATGATACACAATTAAAACACTGGGATACCTTTGGCAGCCCTTGCAAACTGCAAAGAATTCCATTTATCTCCATTGAGAGCTAGTGGAGTCATTACATTCAATTGACTTAAGTAGTACTTGATCAAATCCCTAAATCCACAGCCATACCTGGCAGGATCCCCAAAACAATAGTCAACAAATTATATATTTTTAAACACAACTGCATGAATAAAAGATTGAAGAAAAATGGGAGGAAAAGAACATGAAAGACAGCATAGAGCAAAACGAGAAGACATCTTCCCTTCTCTTTTAATATGACCAGTTATTTCCATTCCAGCATGGCATTAATTCAATGCTAGACCTTTAGAAACCTAAACAGCTCAGAAAACTGTCCTCCCTTTCCTTTCCTTACAGAGGAGGGTGTCAGATCTGCTGCATTTTGAATGCTCATAAGGAGAAGAGGGAGAGAGCACACCAGGATGAGATGCCCTTTCCTCAAGCCTAAGAATGCTGAGGGCTGGGCACTCAAACCCAGGGCTCTGACAGCAGCAGCAGCCCCACAGCTGCCTGGGTTTCAGTCTGAGAGAGGAAAAGCTGTGCACCCAAAACAAGCTGATAGCTTGGTCTCATCTATCTCCCTGCACAAGCAGCGGTCAAGTTTTCTGACAGCAGGAACGGCTAAAGCAATGTGCATTTCTCTTCATCCTCCTTACAGGTGCTTACATGGAAAGCTCAGGCAAACCCCAGTCAAAAAGCAGCCGTGAATAGGCAGAGAATACTACATCCCAGCCCCCAAGTATCCTGCAAGTTTCATTTAACATTACAGATCAGAAAATAGATTTCCAGAAGAATAAAAATAGACTTCAAATCTATTTTTAGGCGTGTTTTTAAAAAAGACCTTATTTTTACAGGCCAAGTGGCCTGAGGCACCCAAGTGACCTCCAGGCCACTCAGTACTGTTAAGGGGTGAAACAGCAGTCTCTTTCTCCTGGCCTTTTGAACAGATAGAAGAGCATTACTTTACATCGCATTACAGGGACTGCTCCTGAACACACTACCCAGTAATTACAAGTTGCATTATTTAATTTCAGTGCTGTCTACTACAAACGTTTCTGCTTCATAAAAGCAGACTGAGAATGCACCCCAATGGTTACATTGCCGTGTGTCATCAAAGGCACACGCAACAGCCCTCCAGACACACTCTCAGATGCAGCAGGTTAAAGAAACATTGGCTGGCACTGTGGCTCATGCCTGTCAGAGACAAGCATTCTCCTTACAAATTGCTGCTTTGATTCTAAATTTGTACATGGTATTTAGACCCAAACAAACTTCTAAAAACAACCTCCTCTCCCAGTTCCAAAGACTATTTTCAGAAAACTTGACATTGCCAACAAGAGGGAAATGTAGGAGTGAAGGATACCTTATTTACTGGGCTGTTGTAAACTCACAATCTCTTTGCTGTCACTGAAAATTAAAGTGAAAAGAAAAGCAAATGTGAATGGGATAAAACCAAAAATGTTAAAGTTTTTAATATGGAGTAAGTCCTATTATTTGGGGAATTTTGGTTCCACTTTTTTGGTATTTAGCACAAGCATTGTTTAAGTGTTTGCAAATGCTGAATTTTTAGATCTAAACAAAAGAGACTGAAATATATATGAGAAGTGCCCTTATACCAGGAAGCACAGCATTAACTGTAATGTTAACATAAATATTACAGCTGCTATTGATTGCAAATACATATCAGGACTTCTAAGATTACATTCCTTTAATTATAATGACTCATAAGAAAGTGTAACTGCACTTGGCCCAAAGCAATTGAAAGTAGCAGCTGTCTAAAGGGACAAATACTGCCACAGATTGGCTCTGATAACATCCTAAATCTTCCTTCAAGTGAGATCAAACTGTCTCCAGTTGATCCCAAATGGTCTACTCCACTGATTAATTTAAAAATACCTCTTTCCCAACCACAGAACTTGTTACCACACTTAGGATGTTACTGCTCTGCTAGAGTCTTCCAGATGCAGTTTGCATTTCTAATATTAAAGAACCCAGTTAGAAGTCTTCAGATTTTGTCTTATCAAAAAGCATACCGCTTCTCACAATGTTTCTAAAAACACCATAAGCACACAAAAAGAAATAATTGCTTCTGGCAAAAAAAAAAAAATCAAATTTACTTAAGTAACATATCCGTTCTTACAAATCACTTTTATTATAATATCATGCACAAAGAACAATATTTAGATACATTTAAATAAATTACTGAGGTTTAACAGGATAAATGGTTCCACATTACAATTTTTTCCAGTAGCAAAGCCCAAGTGATTCCTGTCCTTTTTCTCACCCAATTATTTCTACCATTTTGCTACTTTACTCATCAGTAGTGATGATAGAACAGTTTGTGGAGCTGCACTCTAAACCAAAACAAGAAAAAATGACCTAATTTTAGAAGACAACAGTACACTCACTGTTGTTCATAGGTGTAATTTTAGACCCTGTAATTAGAAGGAAAAAAAACCCCAACATCACAAGTATCCAAAGTGCCAGTTAAGAAAACATGAATATAAGGTGTGTTTCAGTTGAATGGAAAGATTGTTTAACAGTTAAGAGTTAGATCACTTACAGGTGGAAACTCAGAAAGGGAATTACTTCCAGATAGCCAAAACTGTCTACATTTCATTTCAGGGGAAAAATGGTTTTATTTATACTTCAATTACAGCCTTTCCTGTTGGAGACAAAAGAACCTGAAACACAAAGGGCGAGCTTTGCTCAGTTTCCTTTAGTGCCCAGCAGTGTTACTTTCAAAGGAGACATGCACCCCAGGTACCAGGAGGCTTCCACAGAGAACATTCACATTTAAAAGGAGAGCAGCACATCTTTCTTTGGAACATTGTCTCACAAGTGGTACATGGAAAAAATACTGTACCTATTTTTTCCTATTCAAGAGTTACAGAGTTGGACAACAGTGACCAATTATTTAGAACAAGTGTGGTTCATTTCTCCTTCAGAAAAGTTAACTTCCTTCATCAGTAGCAGAGGTGTCAGAGGCAGCCTCTGCACCTGCACCACTTTCTGTCCAACGCCTTTCCAGAACGAGTGCACCACTTGCTCCCAGACACACAGGTCACTCACTCACTCACTCACTCACTCACTCACTCACTCACTCACTCGCAGCATCAGTGATGTGGCAGACTGGAGAGCAGTACCCAGCACTAATCACTGCCTTCCTCATGGAACCCTGTACTTCACCTGCATTACTTGCCTAACACGGCCATGCTGTGCCAAACTTTGCATTTCGTATTAGCTTTCATATTAGCTGTGCATTTGTGATGCTGTGATGAAGATTTCTCAAGGCACTTCCCAGACTGGAATCATGACCAAGCATTCAGCACACACCTGGAGTAGACAGCAACCTGCCTTCTTCAGGACTGCTAACAGCTGTTACACTGAAGTCTCCCAGGTCCAGAACATGGGAGCAGGGAGTTGCCATGATGAAAAACCACAAATAAATCTAAGGCCTACTGAGAAAAGGCAGGATTAGCAGTGTTACGCTGCAAGAGGGATTTTCATGAGCTCCAAAAACTTTATTGCAACTAGGTAACAGACTATTGCCTCAGTCTTTAGTTATTTCAACTAATCTTACCAATTCTGAATCCTCCCTCAAGCCTTGCAGTCTGCTGTGGATACTACTTGAAAACTGTATCACTTACTCTTGCAAATTTAACAATGAGTTAGCAGACTTCAAGCACTAGTTGTAGGAGTTTATGAGGCAAACACACTGCTTAGATTTTTAGACTCCTTGAAAGTCAAAACCTTTGCTTTGCACCCAAGAAACTGTCTACTCCAAAGAACAGGTCTGCATCCCTCTAATTTTTTCCTCTTATTTTTAAATGCCTTCCAGCTTCCCTATTTTTAGGTCAGTTTCTCTTCAATTTCACCAAATACATTTACAGAAGGATTCTGTATTAGAAAGGGAAGTGTGTACAAACAGAATAAATCCCATGAAAAGGAGGAAAGAAGTTGAAGCTTTTTATATCAATCTTTACTGCTGAGTTTCCAGGACTGCTTCTTGGAATCAAATGCCTAATAAAAAGCAGTTCTTTAACATTTATGGTAGGAAAAAATAAGAGCAAAGATCTTGAGAAGTCTTGGAAAAAACCCACCTTAAATAAAACAATTGCTAGCTACACCTGCTGTGGCAACCAGGATAAATTCTACATCAATGACATTTATTTTCACTGAAGAAACTACAAGTGGGGAAAAGATGACCCTAGACAAAATCAGTATTTGAATTGTCTATAGAACTTACTGTCTTGTATTAAACTAGTAGTTCATGTCCTGAAAAGGTATTGTGGTACTTTCTTCTGTCATTGACTTGCACCTCTATTGTCCCTACTTATTAGTTTTATGTAGCTAATTAAGTGGAAATCATAATGAATTTTGGAAATTTATGCATCATCAACAGAACTTTTAATTAAAACCTTGTTGCTTCCAAATGTAAATAATGACTAGGCAGTGAAATACTTTTTGTGAGGTTACTCATTTGGGTGGAAGACAAGCTTACCATGGTAATACTGTTTTTAACACTCTCTGCTTAAAGCAACTGCAAAATTATATGTTACAGTGACCTAAAGAAAAAAAACATAATCTGTAGAGCCATGAAGCATGAATCACAAGGACTCACTTCAGATCCTAAGATGGCAAAGGATTGGTGGAGCTTGTATCTTGTAAGGCATACAATAACCATTGGAATCCACAACTGGCACATGTGTATTAAAAATGAAAAAAAAAGCATTAAGCTTCCAAGGCTGGTAGGGACACAAAAAGTCCAATTCATTCAGGAGGTGTAAGAGGGAAAAAAAACCAGCCACAGAAACCATGGCAGGCAGATGCAGAATTGCAAGGTGTTTGATCTATTGTGGTTGTACACTTGAGGTACAAGAGCACAGCTGTCACGTTTCATGTGTTTGACAACTCACCCCATAAAGCAGTAGCATCAAACCTCTCCATAAAGCTCCAGAGTTCACTGCTCCTGATTCACTGGCCAAGAGAAGGGCCTTGCTCCCTGGCAGGTAATTTAAGGACAATGATGAACAAACTCTTTCCTAATCATAAAATGCAGTATATTACTCTTTCTAGCAAACGCACGTCGCATCTGAGATTAGCCCAGTGGCTGAATCATCGCTTTCTCCTAACAAAGGCTGGATGCTGATGGAGGCAGAAAGAGTGCTGATCTGCTTCTCCGTGCTTCTTACTGAAATAAAAGGCTTAAGTATTACCATGAATGAAAACTAGAACCACGACAGGCAGTGAAACGTTAATAGTCTTTATTTTACGCAATACTGTAGGCTGTGTAACATTACAGCTGCATGTAAGCAGACATACCTGGATCAGTATCAATGCATACATTAATCATGTTCCCGCAGGAATCCATCCGTCACGGAGCCCCCGGCTCCCTCTGCAGCCCGTGCTAAAGCCGGCAGGCCGTTCCCGGCTCCTACAGCCCGTGCTAAAGCCGGCAGGCCCCTCTCGGCTCCCGCTGCAGCCCGTGCTAAAGCCGGCAGGCCGTTCCCGGCTCCCGCAGCCCGCGCTAAAGCCGGCAGGCCCCTCTCGGCTCCTACAGCCCGCGCTAAAGCCGGCAGGCCGCTCCCGGCTCCCGCAGCCCGCGCTAAAGCCGGCAGGCCTCGCTCGGCTCCCGCTGCAGCCCGTGCTAAAGCCGGCAGGCCTCGCTCGGCTCCTGCAGCCCGTGCTAAAGCCGGCAGGCCTCTCCCGGCTCCCGGAGCCCGTGCTAAAGCCGGCAGGCCCCTCCCGGCTCCCACAGCCCGTGCACAGAGGGCAGGCTCGGCCTGCGGGCCCTGAGAGCGCCTGCCCTCATTCCCCCCGTGCTTACGGCGGTATTTCGCAGCTCCGGGACGCCGGCTGGGGGGCAGGGAGTGCCAGCGGGTGCTCGGAGGCGCGGGGCGCACCAGGCGGGCACAGGGGGATCCCCTCACGCCGCATCGCCGCGCCCGCCCGCGGTCCCTACCACGGCCGGAGCCCCCACCGCGCTCAGAGCGCGAGGAGGTTTGAACCGCGCCGGCCGCCGTATGGGGGAGGTGCCACTGCCGCTTCCGCGAAAGGCGGCCTCCGACGCGCATGGAGGAGCTGCCCGTCGTCGTGCTCCTGCTCCTCCTTCTCTCCTTACTGCTTGTCCCGCTGGTGCTCCTGGATAGGAGGCGCCGTGGCCGGCGAACACCTCCGTTCAGTCTCCTGGTGGTGGCCGGCTCTGGTGAGTGGCGGTTGCCGCCGGCGGGAGCGGGTGGCGCCGTAGAGCTGCAGCTCCAGATTCCTGGAACTACGAGTCCCGGCATGCAGCGCGACAAGCAGAGAGGGGAACGCTGCCCCTGTACCCTGGTGCATGCCGGGAGTTGTAGTCGCGATTGCGTGTGTCAGGAGCCGGCGTCGGGGCCCCGCGCGGCCGCTCCTGTGGTGCCCCGGGCCGGGCCGGGCGTCCTGGGGGCCGCCGCCTGCCCTTGGGTGTTTTGGTTCTCGATTTGAGTAATTGTTACGCATTTAACCGAAGTCACGGTGAAAGCACTGGTGCAGGACTGAGCTGTGCAGCTGCTCGGCCTGGCCGGAGATTGCTGATGGCGATGCAGGGCACGCCCCTCACATATGTGGCATTTTGCAATCTACCCAACCCACGCTGCTGTGATTTACTTACAAGAGTCACACGTGGATCCGTCAGAGACAAGAATGTCACCCCTCGCTAAAGGGTGTACACATCTGCCACTCCCTGTTACCTTGTTATCAGAGTTGAAGGGCAATTAATTTACCACCAAAAAATTTATTTGAAAATTTGCAGTTGACAGATACAGGCCAGCTGTTATTTCAGCACCTCAGTATCCCTTTGGTTTTTACACACCAACTGATTGAGTAATAATCCTGAGATCTTTCTGCATCTGAGTTTGGCAGGTTTATAATTCTTAAAGTCATCTTTACATCCACTAGGGCTGGAAATGTGTGTATTTTCCTTGAGTCCTTTGGAATCTGGTTAGTCTGTATTAAAAGAATACTTCCACTGTACATAATCTTACCAGGTGAAATAATGCATGTGAGTTAAGATTCACATAATGTTCAAGCCTATTCTTTGAGGCTTTTAAGTAGGAATCTCCTGCTCTTCTGTGAGTGCTCAGCTGATTGCATTAATATTACTGAAACCTTAACAAACACTACTCAGGAGAAAATATCTCCAAACATAACTGAAAAATAGCACATGAAATTGTATGGAAAGGTGGCAAAGTAGTGCAATGCTGCAGCATGGCTCTCCTTGTCAGTTGTTCACCAGCTGCGAGTGCTTAACCTGTGCAGCAGAGGTCTCTTGGGAGCCTAGTGACACTGAACAGCAGGAGGTAGCAGGAATACTTTTGGTTTACTGGTTTTGGTCTGCAACTTCCAGCAGAGTGAAAAGCAATACATCCAGTAAACACATGATGTATTTATGGGCCTGGTTTCATGTTGGTCTGATGCAGTCCAATAGACAAAAGGTGAGATTGCTCCTTACTTCACCTACACACACAATCTTCCTTCTCCCCCACTTCCACTCTGACAATATCCCTATAACTGCTTTTCAGGAAACTCAAGTGACAAAAAAACCAAAAATTAACCCAGCTGCCAAAAAGCCCAGTATGTACACCCTCCCCTTCTGTCTGGTGTAGTGCCAGTGTAGCTCTGGGACAGAGTGACCCTGTCTGGTTTAGTGCCAGTGTAGCTCTGGGACAGAGTGACCCTGTCTGGTTTAGTGCCAGTGTAGCTCGACAGAGTGACCCTGCAGTTAGAAGGTTGTGAAGGCCCTTTCAAGGGCAGTGCTCAGAGCAGTGCCTGAAGCAGGACTGTTTGTTCTGTCAGCACCCAGCACTACACTGCTGTGGCCGTCACTGCGGTGGCTGCAGGGGGACACTGCTGTGGCCATCACTGCGGTGGCTGCAGGGGGACACTGCTGTGGCTGCAGGGGGACACTGCTGTGGCCGTCACTGCGGTGGCTGCAGGGGGACACTGCTGCCTGGCTGGTTTCGGTGAGATGAGCTGGGCTAGCGCAGCCCTGCACTGGCACAGGACAGGGTCAGTGGCAGTTCTGCTTCCAAGGTGCAGCTCTGAGGCAGATCCTGTCCAGCTGCATTTTGGCCATTGCCCCACGGGGTGGCCTTTGAGTGCAGAGCACAGTGTCACTCTGTGCCTGGTTGTTCTGCACCGTGTACAGGACATTAAACACAAACATCAGATTCCTGTGTCACCCTGGTTCAATCCCATTCCACTGGAAAACGTCAATCAATGCTGCTTCCCTGGGAGCTGAGCTCCCTCCATGTTATTTAAGCAGTCTCTAACTGAATCCTTTACTCTCAGAAGATACTTTCTCCCTGGCAGTAGTAATACTCATACACTTCAAAATGAAAAGTGACTGATTCAGCTGAAGAAATGGAAAGTTACACAATTTTTCACATACTAATTGCAGTTTGCTTTGTTTTACAGGTGGGCACACAACAGAAATCCTGAGGTTACTTAGCTGTTTGTCAGAGTCATACTCTCCTAGACATTATGTTTTGGCAGACTCAGATAAGATGAGTGAAGCTAAAATACGTTCTTTTGAACAAAAAAGGGCTGAAACATTCTCCGAGTCCCAGGTAACTTGTTAAATACTCATGTAAGAAAAATGATCTTGACATTCTAATTCAAGGCAATTTGGAAATGATTCTTTTAAAGGACATTTATACCAGCTAGCCACTGAAGTGTTACTTGTAGCTGTAAGAATATTGGGGCAAAAGTATTACAGAGGGGATTTTTTTTTTAGTTTGGCATTTCCCCTCAGTGAAATATAATATTTTTTTGAAAGAAATTATATAGAAAATTGTTTTATCTAAGAAAACCTTAATTTAAGTTGTATTGGCTTTGTTTGTTTCTACACTGTGTCTTGGCTGTATTTTAAAAATAAAGTATAAATGTTTATTTGAAAGGGATGCAAGGCCTCTGAATGTCAGTTTTCTGGCTGATGACCTGAGCAAATGCTGAACTCCTAAAACTCATGAAAAAGTCATTAAAATATCTTGTTTATTTTTTTCTCAGATGTTTGCTTGCTTTCAGCTCATTTGCTGTATGATTAACAGACAGCAGCATAACTGCTGACATAAAGTGTGATCTGACATCCAGTGAAATTAGTAGAAAGTTTTAGTGGAATAAGTACAATGGAAATTAATGTTCTGACTGCAAAAAATTTAGGTCCTTTTAGCAAATAGTACAACACACTGTAAATTATTTATTTGCATGGTGTTGATTTCATGTGGTGCGCTTCCACTGTTTTCAGCAGCGCTGTTAGGACAAAATACTGTAGGACTCAGTACCAATGATTTTCAGAATAAACCCTTTTAATGTTAGGCAATTACTGCTAAGGCTCACTAAGGAATGACATTTTTAAGTTGGTTAACTGCAACTTTCATGTCTCATTGTGCACGAGGGATGAATGTTTAGTAAAGTGACCAGAGGTGTTTCCTGTTCAGAGACATCTCATTGGGTAAATAGCCATTCACACAGTCATATTCACTCACCTGAAGAATGTCCAATCCTAAATTATTCGATTTCTTAAAGATACCTATTTTCAGTATGAAAAGGTTATGTGGTTTTCATAGCTCACTTATTTTTGCTAAGCAGCTTCTCTTTTATAACCTCACCAACTACTAACAGATCCTGTAGTTATATTTTACCTCAACACTGAAAGCCAGAGGAGCATTTTTGGCTGCATGTGAGTTTGATGTCTGGATAACAGATGCTCATTTTCCTTTGACCATTCTCTTTCTACTGAGCAAAATTATTTGGAGTGAAAACGAAAGATCAATTTTAGAAAGTAAATATCACATACCTGTAACATACATTTGCTATATTTCAGTGTGCTTTCACACACACACAGTGTGTTTTGTTATTAGGGGCACGGGAGATCATCAAACATTTAAAAATTATGTCTTAGTGACTTCTTGAAGCTTTGCATAAGTGAAAGGGAGAAGTCTGAATGCTTCGACACATGGTCATTGCCTTCCTCATCCTGTTAAGGAAGTAGATTTTTCCAGAACGAGGGACCAGATGGAAGACAAATTACAATAATGATGTAACAGAAAACCAGTGATGTAAGAGAAAATTAAACACACACACCTCCCCACCCCTCCAAATAATTTTTTTTTTTTGATCTGTGGTCTAGCTCTGTTCTAACAGCTGTTCAGGGAGAAGGAAGAAAGGCAGAATGAGCATCTTGCAGTGTAAATGCCCGGGATCTGCGGGAGGCCGGGGCGGCGGAGCGGCTCCGAGCGCCGCCGGTGCCCACGAGGTGCCGCCCTCGCCCGGCGCTGCCGCCGCGGCTGGCGAGGGGCTGGAGGGAGCCCGGGGCGGCACCGAACAATAGCTGCCGAGTGCTGGTGTTTCTCTGTGCTTTGTACTTTACTTTTTATACACAAACCTTCCCAAACTAGACTAAGAAAAGGCAAAAAAGGCTGGCACGGACAGATGTAATAAGAAGAAGCTACAACGTTGTCAGAAAAGTAACAGCTCCGCTCCTCGTGCTCTTTTCCAGTTCAGCCTGGATCGCATTCCCAGAAGCCGGGAGGTTAGACAGTCCTGGATCTCCTCTGTGCTAACAACACTATACTCCATACTTTACTCCCTTCCTCTGACCTACAAACGGAAACCAGATTTGGTAGGTAGAGAAAATTTTAATTCATTGAGAACTTGCTAATCCGCATTATAAAAGCACTTGGCATATGTAGACTGCATCTCATATGTATGCTTAGGTTTACAATTCACAGGAAAACTATTTTTAATTTTAAATTAAATATAGCAGCAAGACATCAAGAAAGAGAGAACAGGTTGCACTGCTGGTAAATTAGAATAGCAAATACCAGTTTTCCCTCGCAAAGTTTGCAAGTACCTTCAGAGAGTCACTCCCTTGTTATGCTGGAAGAGCTAGCAAAAACAAGATTGCTGCTTCCTGATAGTATCTCTTCAGGATTGCAGCAGCACAAACTATGCCTGAAAGCCTGGTTATCCTGTTGGCTGGACTTGCTTCTAAAATGGTATGACCAGTCTGGCACAGACAGGTTCAGACCAGCACAAATATATACAGATTCAGTTCTTGTGCTTACACAGACTTCTGAGCTACAACGCGTATTTATTTAGTCTTTGGCTGACTGACATTAATTATCTCATCTAATGACAAAAAGCATCACTGCTGAAGTAGCAACTCCTCAGCACTTCAGTAGCTTTTTCAAGCTGTTCCGAAAACTGCACTCTCATGCTAATTACATTTATTTTAAAATATTCCACACACTTAAAACAAGTGAGAAGCATTCAGGGTTGTCAGATGGTAGAACTACAATGGAGATAGTCAATCAAGAAAGTTTTGTGTTAACACAAAAGGTAGTGCACTGGTCTCCCAGCTTTAAGTCTTACCATTTTGTAAGAAAAAATTTTGTAACAGCTGGCTTCTTGCTAGAGTTGTTGTCACCTTAAGGAGTTAGTAATCTAAACTTGAGGGTTTTGTAAAAAGTATTCATTTTGCAGAACTTCAAATTAATACTTTATGAGGTTTAAAATGCTTAAATAAAACATGTAAAAATGAGTGCAGTTACAAGGTATTTTTCATAATTTAGTAGTAGCACCTATACACACACAGATATTTGTAAGGATATTTGTAAGGACACTATTTTTAAATCCCTCTGTGAACTGTATGGCTAATTCTAAAGAGGCTTTTTAATGTTTGTGGTATTTTGAATGTTTAGAGAGACTGCTGTGAGTAATGTAATCTCATTTGCTTCAATAGTACTGGTCAGTTCCTGTCAGATAAAAGCTACTCTCTTGCTGGACTTTTCAAACAGTTTAGTGTGCAAGACAACAGAAGTAGGTTTTTTTGCAGTTGCTGTTTTTCAAACCTATTCTGAAAACTGGAGATAAAACTGGGAGAGGAGAGAAGATGGCATGCTATGCTTTCTACAGTGGTTTTGATTGGGACAGTGGTAATAGTCAAGTATGTTTACATGAGCAGACAGAAAAATGTAACTATTTAGTAATACTTTGCTACACCACTGTGTTAGGTTAGTGTATTTTTTTACTTATTGCAAAAGAAATTGACTTGAAAAATCTCACTGTGTAGCTTCATAAAGGAAGCAGGAAGTTACTAATCTAATTCCATGTTTTCTGTTTACCAAAGGAATTTAAAGTGACAGAGAGATTTACACATAGAGTTATTAGAAATGGTGTTGGAGCTGATAAACTGTGATAAACTATCAGAAGACTAACGTTCTGAAAAACACTTGTGCTTGTAAAATTAAGGATTTGTTTTAGCAAGGCCTTTAAGCCCTTTGCAGTGTTTAAAGTAACCCCTGCCTCAAAATGAGATTCAAAGAGTCTTTATCTGTGGTTAAAGAGCTGGAGGGGAAAGCAACCCCAATTACTTTTTCTCAGATGCCATTATCAACCAAAATAGCAGCTGGCAGAAACATCCCTGGCAAATCATGTACCACTTGGAAGCTGCTTACATAGTACTACTTGAATGTATATCTTAGTTCAAAAATTCTGTAAAATATAATAACTCTGAGAGCTGCAAAGATTTTAAAACACTTATCCAGGCAGACTGGTTCAGGGATTAAAATGCCTCACATTGCCAGTGAAAAGACTGTATGGTATGTGAAGCAACTGGTAATATTTAATTGCCTTTCCACAAAAATGTTTGCAGTGGATTGAAATTCACTCTACTCCTGGCAAAATGTAATGCTTAGTAATGTAAAGAACTAGAACTAGGCTGGGACAAATACTGGCACTCACAGGGCTCATCTATAACTTCTGGCATGGAAATCAACAACCAAGTTTAGAAACAAACACAGTATTACATCATGCTGAGAACTTCATATTTTTAAACATGAGAGCTTATGGGTGCTGTACATTTTCAGTCTAGACACTGTTTTTTTTTAACTGCAGGAGGGAAAGACAACCTTGCTTCTAAATCATTTGTATGTATGAGTGATCCTCAAACCCTTACACTTGCTTTCAGGCTTGTCAGAAATATGTGTATGTATGAAGGAATGTCTGAAGTCGTCTGTAGGCAGCCTAAAGCCAGAGAAACACAGAAGTGTTGCGGTTGTCAAGAAATGCAGGACAAGAAGAGTACTGCAAAGGGAACCCAATACCATTAGGTGCACAAAGGCAAGATTTGGAACAGATATGATAGTTTTGCCAACCTAAGCCTGTCTGTGGAGTGCAAATAGCTGCAAAAGGGAAACTGCAAACCCAGTTGCACTGGAGTTAGTTGATGAGCACTTGATAATGTGCCTTACTTGATGAGGACTCTGCCCCTTTTGTATCTCACACTGATCTGGCAAAGCTCCTTGAATTAGTTTTCCTGAGCAATCAGTTCCATTTAACCCATCTTCAAGATTGTAAGTTCAGAAAGAGCTGAACAACTTCCTCGAGATCTTTGCTGTCTTGCAGGACTTGACCCATGCTTGAAGCGGGCCTCCAGAGAGTTTAAGAAATGTAAAAGTTAGTTGAGTTGTTCAGCTTGAGATCATCTTCAGGAGGCCCATTTCTGAGTTATGAACATCTGCAGTTTGCAAAGTTAAGTCCCTTAAGAGATATTAAGTCAAGTAACAATTAAGATGTCAGAAGTGATGATTGGCTTGTGTTTCTATAGCCAAGAATTACAGAAATGTGAGTGTCAGAGTGTTTTAAGGGTGAATATATGGTGAGCAGTTTTTATACATCTATCTGCCTTAGATAGGCTTCCTATACAGAGGCCTAAAATTCCAGGGAAGTAAAGGCTTGTGCCAGCACACACTGCTTACACCCACCTTCCCCCAGAAAAGCTTTTAAAACCATTCATCAGCTGCAGCCAGATTTAGCATGCAGTCTCAGAGATTGCAAATTCCTACCATGAAAACAGGCAGCTGGTCAGAGAAGAGAGACTTCTGTTGTCTTCTTTGAGAGAAAGGCTAAAAAGAAACATAAAACTGGAACAAGATCTTATAAGATCTATTATCTAGAAAAGGATGCAAATCCTTCTTATTTATAGAAAATTACACAAACTGCACAGAGATTTTTTCCAAAGATAAAGAAAATTACTGCATCCTGCATAGATCATTTGATATACAAGAAGGACTAAACTAAAGTTACATCTTTCCTTTAATATGCTTGAAGTCAGTCAGTAGATACAAGTTCAAAGGAAACTGGTCTTCAGTTCTCTTGCTGCTTACATAACCATTGCATTGGGCCAGTTTGCCAACCCTGCAACTAAGTTTTCAGGTGATCCAGCCTTTTGTCTGGATCATGATTACCCTGCTCATTCTGGCATACCTGAAATCCAAACTGAGAATGAAGGATGTGCACCTACCACACAGCAGAAGCTGCAAAGTACTGTGTCCAGTTCTTGTTTTCAGCCATAGATGGGTTATGTAATTGGGTCAGCAATTTGCTATCCTTTAATATAATTAAATTTCACCTACAGTTGTGCAGAAGTGCTGCATAAAGCTCCATTCATTAGCAGATTGCACATCCTGGACCCTTAGGACCAGACTTTTTTCCTTTTCTAGGGACACTTCTCAACAGTTCCCAATGCCTCAGGGCTCTACAGAGCCTGAAATAAGTAGATATTTTCAGATGACTGCTATTTGGAAAAACCTGGGTTAAATCAGGCTAAGAAGGTGGTCCTCCCACATTAGGGCCTCCTTCCTGTGGGAAGTCTGTAGTAAGTTTACATTTGCACAGCAAGTACGTGTTCTGCTGTCAGAGAATGAGAATGAAACTTCTTTCTAGAAGTCTGAAACCTGCACAGCTTATCATGCTTGTAGCAATCACCTCTTCTTTTATCACTGCACATCCCATCACACATGCCTGATCCCCTGACAGGTTAAACTGACTAAGGCAGCTTCTGATTACAGAAGTGTTTGCACAGTAAGCTAAATGAAAGGAGATCATTATTTCATTTAGCTAAGATTTTCCAATCTTTGTGCCCTGCCCAAAATGCCTGAAGTTCGTAACACTCTCACAAATTACTGTGACAAATAGTAAGTTATTGTCCCTTATATCATGGTTCTCATTGGAACTTTGTGGAAAGCTACAAAATCTGGGTGGTGGCATTTTTTTCTTTATTCATTTTATAACAAGTGATCTTTGTATAATGCAATATTAGGACTATCTGCTGCATTCTTCTGTGCACTGCATCTTTCCGCAGTGTTTATAATTCTTTGGACCAGATTGTATGCCTGATCTACTATTGTTCTTCTAGGATCAAAACAGTCAAAATAAGCAAGAGTAAGAACACTGGATTAAGAACTTCAGCAATACAAATTTTTTCTCCAAAAAGAAAACAAAGTGAAGGCATCAAAATTTGTTTAACTTCTCAGTGTTGATGAAAATGAGTCTTATCCACCCCTCCTACCTTGTGTACTGTGTACAGCTTCCCTGCAGCCCCAATGCAGAATTACCCTGTGCTGAGCACAGATAAACATCTGAGGCTATTCCAGTCAGCTGGTTCAAAGCTTTGTTGTAGCTCTGCCCTTTCTGTGACTGCTAATTAGACTTGCCTATAGACACTCCTTTTCAGAGGGAGGACAGGAGTAGCAGTAAAGATGAACTGAGATCTTAGCTTAGATTTAAAGAGGCATTTTTAGACGTAAAAGAGTCTTAACTCATCAGCTGTCAGGATCA